GGTCTACAGGGTTCTGGCTTCTGGTTTTCGGGTTAAAGCTTCGGGGTGTAGGGTCTCGGTTTTGGGGTTAAGGGTTCAAACTTATAGGCTTCTGGGTTGAGAGTTCAGGCTTCTGGGCTTGGGGCGTGGGCTTCGGGGTTGAGGGCATATTTTTAAGGGGTCTCGGTTTTTCTTCTTCGAGGGATCTCTTCCAACTGTTCCTTACAAGGAAGAGCCGATGTTGGGGCCTCAGTGCTTGTGGGGTTTCGGGTTCTGGGGTTTAGGGTTCAGGGTATACTCAAAGGATCATGGGACTTAGTAACTAGGGTTATAATTGGGGCAACTATGCTTATACCTACTTATAACCCCAATTACGGCTGTATGGCTCCGCAAAAGAATCTTCTTCGAAGGGCTCCTGTAAGAGCTCTACGACACACTCCTGCACAAATCCTTGGAGGGTCTCCTCCTCGGATCCCAAAAGTGCGAAAGACTCAGCATTCTTTTTTTTTTTTTGGGGGGGGGGGGGGGGTTGGGGGTGTAGGGGCTTTGGATAGCAATCTCTTCACCCTAAACGGTAGGTTACGATTAGAGGGAATATGACTCTGTAAGTATGGAGTTTCTGGGCTTGGGTGCCATAGGAATTGGAACTGGGTTACCTGAAGGAGCTCCGTTGACGGGTTCTTAAGCATTCTTCTAGAAGGGCTCTGTAATGGTCTGGGGGCCTTAATCATTAGAATAAGGCCCCTAACTATAGTTATCCTACTTATAACCCTACTTCTACCCATGAACCCTAAACCCTCTACCCTTATCGAATCCCTATATAGATCCCTTTAAAGATATTAAAATCTGAACCTATGGGGACGACAGGCCAACCCTACCTGAACCCTGAAGACCGTGCCTTTTCACGGACTTAGATGCAGAAATCATAATAAGGAGCCCTAAAAGGTAGGTTCTTCAAGTTTAAGGTAAACCCTAAAGCCTTAAACCCTAAACCCTAAACCTTAAAGCCTTTTATTTGTCTATTCGGACGAAGGTGCTAAGGGATCCGGTAAGCGCTACAGTTCCTGGGATGGCTACCTAGACCCAATGTTAAATATTAGTATAGTTCTTAGTATTCGTATTCATATTGATATTAATATTGGTATTCATATTTGTATCCCCAAAGTAGGTAAGATAATGGCCCAAAACCTCTAAAAGGCTACTACTCTACGTACTCTTGGGGTGCAGGTAGTGCTCTGTTTGCCAAGGGAAAGCCAGACGCTAGCCGTCTGAAAGCCTTGCTTATGCCCTGCGGTCCCCTAAACCCTAAACCCTAAACCCTAAACCCTAAACCTATCTTTCCATTGATGGGACCCTTAGCACCTCATACAAACCGGATGGAACTCTTGCTTGGAGGGTCGGGGGACTTAGTAACTGGTTATTTTAGGGACTTATAAGTACCATAACCCCAATTAGGGTCCCTTTTAGGGTACTTCTAAGTCTACTTACTACCTACTCACTAAGTCCTCCGACCCTCCAAGTGTACTTGGTTGCCGAGTTCATTAGCCCAAAAAAGTTTAGACTTTCAGGGTTAGATAGGGTTTCATTATTGCAGAAAGTTTGAAGTTTATCAACCCAACTACTACGTATAAAACCCATGTAGAGCCCTGTAGAACTCTCATCAACCAATAATCAATAGCGCACGAAGCTTCGCGGAGTCTTTTCAGCTTTGGAAGGGGGTAAAGTTTGGAGTTCATGGGCTAGGGTTGACGGACGAAGAGCATAACAGATCATTTTGTGAAGGGTAGTTGGGGTTTTGAAAAGTACGGTAGAACTCCACAACCTTCTCAATCCAGGACAATATCCTAAAACCGGATTCGGAATCCCTCTATAGTCTCAATAGTGTCATCGTTGTATACCCTCATAACAAACCCTATAAACCCGCATGAACTAAAGCCCCATAATGTTCACTCCTTGATTCCAGGGTAAGGCTGCACACCCCCAGAGCCTCCAAAACCCCTTAATTAAGGAATATACCTTAAACTATAATAGGAACCCTAATAAAATTTAAGGTATATTCCTTAACTAAGGGATATTGGAGTCCCCTAAACCCTAAACCCTATAGATCCCTTGCAGATCCCTTAAAGGAACCCTGGGTATATTCCTTAATTAAGGGGTTTTGGAGGCTCTGGGACCCCGCTCCCATTAGTCAAGCAACAGTACTGTCGGAGATCCCTACAATAGATTTTAAGGCAAAAAGTACTTATAACCTTACTAAGTCCCATAATCCACCAAGTAGGAGAGCCTTAGAGGCCCTGGAAGAACCCTGCTATGGCTTAAGGTTTAGGGTTTAAGGTAAAAGCCAGAAAGTTGGAATATGATTATCCTAAACCCTTTATTATGGTAAATTATAGGGTATCCTACCATGAAACCAAATACCAACTTTCTGGAGTTCCCTGTACGGTGCCCCGCCCGCGGCCCGGGTCTCCGCATCCCAAATAGATCAAATCAGCTGCAGCACGGAGTGTGCATGGACGGAAGCCAGCCGCTTCGGGCCCATGCAGATATCAAAGGGCTCCTTGCGGGTGGAGGCCCGCTTCAGAAGATACGACACGCAGGTCTGGCACAGCTGGTTCTTCATCAAGGTCCCCCCAGAAAGCCCAATACCCCTTAATTAAGGAATATAGTTTAAATCATTATATGAAGCCCTATATAATTTAAGCCATATCCCTTAATTAAGGGGTATTGGGCTCTCTGGGCCTGGGCTATGTTGGCTGGCAGGCAACACACTCAAGGCATCTGCACCGCCGACATGCGCTATCCCTGTTGGCTTCGGGAACGCCTGAAGGTTGTACTGCGGCCAGTGCGTGGTCTCGACAGGACCTAGGTCCCCAAGAGCCGTGTAGCAGATGGAGCGAAGAATTTTAGGGCTTAGGGGTTTAGGGTTTAGGGTTTCAGTCTTCTCCGCTGTCTGGCCCAGGTCTTGCCGAGGGCTGCCCGAGCGAGAGCGAGGTCGCGGCAATGATCGGCACGGGTATCTTTTCTGCCCTGTCACGGTGTCACGTATCATTCAGTGCTCTGGTTTATAAGGGCCCGAATCGCCGACCAGCCGGGCAGTAGCTGGTAGGAAAATCGGAGGCCCCAGAACCCGGGTTTTGCTCACACGGGGCAGGGTTCGCCATGAGCCTATTGCGATGAGCTGCAGGAGCGAAGCCACCTGGTTTCGCGATGAGTTCTGGAGGATCGTGTGTGCCGCAGTTCTTGCCGTCGTGGCGATGACCATGGCGCACAAAATAGCAACTGCCCTGGCCAAGTGCACAGACGAGGGCGAATGGTGGAAGTCGATCAACGTCCAGCGGGAGAATACGAAGGACATGCAGATAGAAGCTAGTGCGATCACTGCAGGCTCCCTGACTGTCCAACGCATTTGCCACTATCTGTCGCTTGAGGCAAGCACATATCCCATTCTGCACGGGGAACCTGGGGATCATGTTGATCACTGTGTTTCCGTCCTAGTCGGAATTAAAGTGCTCCGCCTCATTGCCGCGGCTGTCTGGGCAGTTTGGCCCCGGCCCACTGGGAATGAGAAGCCTTGCGTCGGCAGCTTCCTCAACGAGTACTTTGGGGCGCTCGGCGCTGTGACGGCCTGCTGGTTCTTACAAGCTGGTTACGTCTACTTATATGGACGCTTCATCAAACATACTACCCCGGAGCTAGCTTTCAGCAGAAGTATCATCGTCAATGCTTTTGTTCTGTGCCTCTTAGACATGTTTTGCATCAACGGGTTCGTCAAGCAGGCAGACTCCGTCCAGAAGAGGAGTGGAACTTGCAAGGGTTGTGCTGGCATCGGCCATAGCGGCGAGGATGTGGCATGTTCTCTGAGCGTGGTCGCTGCGGATGCTGAATTAGTCAATGTGGGAGCCGGACTGGGGACAACCATTCCCGGCTTCTGCATGCTGGTTGGCATCTGTTGGGTGAGACAGTTTGTCTAACTCAGCCTTCGAGTCATGGACTCCGCAACCACCCGGTTATTGGGACTGCCTTAGTAGCCAGGCTGCTGCTGGGCTGCGTTGTGATGTTATCCCGGCTTGGTACTGGTACACTGTTCCCATTGCCACGAAGAAGGAGCCAGACAGTGTTTTGTATAGCGGAAGCCGCATACATAGCCATTATGCTTTTCTTGAGTACGGCTCGTGCGTATGATAGTTCATGAACTGTGCTACCGCAGTAGAGCTGCAAAGCGACAGTCAGTGCACTTCATATCGAGTGTGAGGGCACTAATATGAACATGCGGGCATGGCCATTTGAATACGCCATGCGGGGCCTGAAGCTTGCAGTTTGCCTCTCTGCCCCATGGGGAACAAGGCTCAAGCTTTTAGCGTTTCTGTTACGATGTCAATATATCACCTCCAAAGAAGGTGTTCCCGCATCTCGGGTATGTCGCTACATATAGTTGTGTTGTGCAGGGATGGCCTCATTCATACCCATGAGGAATATCCTGCGCAGTTGTAGGCCTGCTTCGCATTGCACGTTGAAGTTCCATTTCGATTCCTTGTGCAGCTCATTCGCATGTTATGGTGCGACTTCCTTTTGATTTTGGGTGTGACGCGTTGCTAGTGCTACGGTTTTTTCTGCTCTGTGCTACCGGTTCCATGCACAGCATCTTGCACACCTCACTGTGCGATCGCCCAGATTACTGCACCGCGCACTGCTGAGTGGTTCGCGAGCGCAAACTGGGGATCCGCATCGGTCTTAGAATTCGATTGCTAGCGGTACGTTCTCGACAGGACTTTGCACCGCCGGAATGAATGAATGCTCTGGTGTATAAATTTCTCTGGTCAGGAAGACATACTACTACATGCAAGTGCAAATATGGATGCATATGCATCTGTATATGTATGTGTGTCTACTCTGAGCTTTTGCGTGAGGACCTTCGTTGGGCCTTTGCGTGGACACGCAACACTTGTCATCTGGGTGACCCAGATGTGTGTTGGTCAGCTTGGAGTGAGCACGCGTGTCACAAGCCAGGTGCTTTCAAAGGCCTAGTCAAGAGGGCATGCGCACTCGACCGTGTGCGCGTTTCCCTGATCGCCGCCGTTGACGGGCTCCACCGCGGTATGGTTGGCATAGCCGGCTATGCGTCTGGCAGCAATACTGCTCGAAGCTGTGACTCTTACACCGAGATGTGTGTGCCGTGCAGACGGGCCTTCCAATCCCGAGTGGCGTGGTCAGGCCATGCTGCGAGAAAACATGCTTATCGAAGTAAAGCCTTTCTGGTTGCGGAAGGCCGCACTTGTTTGAGTTGTGGCAAGGTTTTCTCCAGTTTGGGTAGGCTTCGGCGTCACTTAGTCTCGGTTCCTAGATGCGCAGATAATTGGGGATGCTTTCGTCCAAGCGTTATCCGACCGCATTGTGATACCCATCCACAAGCCCCTCCCACACAGGCTGCAGGGATTGCCAGCGCGCTGCCGGTTCTCGCCTCCGATCCAGGCATCTCTGATGTCCTCCTGCAAGCCCTTCGAGAGCTTCATGAAGGCGACGAGGAGACAGTGTGGAGCTGTGTCGCGGAGCACATAGAGCCTCTAGACGTCTTGCGAGAGACACTCTGCTTTTGGCGGCGCACGGAGCATCTCTCAGATGCCACTAAGGATGCCGTTGAGAACGCTCTAATCTTGCTGGATCCTGCCGTTTTGGCGGAGCATTTCCCCTCCGTCGATAGTCGGCCCAAGTCAAATCCATACGAGGTGCCTGAGTGGCGCGTACCTGGCAGACTTGAGCTTGTTTGCAGTGGTGTCTGCCGTGTTTGGCGGTTGGCAGCGCCGCCTGCCATCGTATACCAGCTACACGAACCAACAAGTGTGCCTTTGAGGCTTGCTACAAGTCTTCTCGTATGGACTGAGGACTTTTGCAGGGTCATAGCTGCTAGCATCGACGTTGCTCGTCGTCAACCGATCCGCATCGAATGCCCGGGCCTGTGGGCTCCTCTACCAATGATCAGAAGCTGGGTTGAGGCCCTCGGCTTCCTGTGCGATGAGCATCGCCCTCTTTTTCTGTGAGTGAATTCATGTGCCAGGCGTGCGTCTTTGATAGACTCCATCGCATCGAATGAAAAATGTATGTGTGTATGGAACCAAAATCTCTGAACCCTAACCCCCGATAAAGATGAACCGAGGCCCTTGACCCTAAACTCCAAATCCTGATTCACAAACCCCAAACCCTAAGCCGGGAGATTGGGGCATCGACCGTCGCTGTGGATCCCACCGTCCTTGTCAGGCTCCATATTCACTGGGCTTCTATAAGGCTTCTTCCATGAAGGGATCCTATAGACTTCTATACCCCCCTTAGTACCATAATACATATCTTATTTTTAATATGCTCTTGGGTTTTATATGAGCAAAAGCAAAAAGAAATCCTAAGGAGACTATAGACTTACCAGAGGGCCAGAGAGGTTACTTCAGGGGTTAGATCTTGAATTATTTCCGGTTTTAGAAGCGTTCTGGGAGGGTCTTAGAAGGTTTCTGTAGGATTTCTCCAGCTCTCATGCGGCTATGGGTTTAGATTTAGAGTTTACTGCTTACGGTTGGGATCCCTACAATCAGGGTTCTTGGAAAGTGGACTCTTGAGCTTCCTTTGGGGGCTTGCAGTAAGGGTTGTTCTTCTGGTGTTACTGTGAGTAAGGGTCACCACAGGGGGCTTAACTACTGCATGGAAGGGCTTCTTACCGCGTACTGAAGCCTCGGGGCTTGGTTCAGGCTCGATTGGCTAATGTGGGAACCTGATTGAGAAACCTTGGGCACTTGTTCGGGTACCTTATATGAATCCTACTATTTTGGGGTAATAGGTCCAGGGTTTCTTAATCAGGTCCCTACATTAGGGCCCCTAGCTGCCAGGGCTTGGGGATGGGGGGTTGATCTTCCTCTTTTTCGGTTGGAGAGACGCGGAGGTTCGTGGTTCTAAGAGCACCTAAACCTCTAAACCCCAAGCCCAGTAGCCCTGGAGCGTATGGGAGCTCCAAGGTCAGAGACACATTTTGGAATCCTTAAAGAAGCGCCCGTAGCGGAAGTTCAGGAACTCTTTGTGCAGAACCCCCCCGAACCTGGCCCACAAGACCCTATAGCTGCCAAAACCTACACTCTCAACCTCAAGACTCTCAAGCCTGAAACGATACGCCCTAGCTACGCAAACTCCGGTGAATTCTTGCATGTGTACCTAGACCCCCAAAGTAGGTAAAATAATGGCCCAAAACCTATAAAAGGCTACTATTCTACATACTTTTGGGGTCCAGGTTTATGGTAAAAAGAACAGAACTGTAAATCCAATACCCCGCGGTGTAGCAAAACCCCTAATCCCGAACTCCTGCATCCCGTTTAAACCCTACACCCCGAATTCCTAAACCCCAAACCCCTTAAGCCCTAAAGTTAACCCCAATCCAAACCCCAAACCCTAAACCTCCTAAACCCTAAGCCCCAAACGCCTAAACTCCCAAACCCCTAACCCACAAACCTCCAAACCCCCTGTAGATTCCTTATAGATCCCTTGAAGGAACCCTTAAAGGATAGATTCTTATAGATGCCTTAAGGGAACCCTTAAAGGAACCCCCTTTTAAACCCAAATCCCAAACCCCTTAGATCCAAAGCCCTCAACCCTCTAAAACCTTACAGATCCCTTGAGGGAAGCCTTTAAGGAACCCCCAACAAGGATCCCTTAAAGGCTCCCTCAAGGGAAACCCCTCAAAGGAACCACCCTTAAAGGAACCCTTAAGGAACCCCCCAAAAAACCCTAAACCCCCCAAACCCCTAAATCCTTGTAGAACCCTTTAAGGAACTCCCGAAACCCTTAAAGGAACCACCCTTAAAGGAACCCCCTTTAAGGAAACCTTACTAAGGGAACCCCTTCAAAGACCACTTCAAGGATCCACTCTCAGAGGAGCCCCATGGAACCCCCTTAAATTAAAGGAACCCCTAAAGGAACCCCCCTTAAACCCTAAACCCTGAACCCTGACCTCTAACCCTTTAGTTAAAGGACCCCCCTCAAAGGAAACCCCGAAAGGAGCCCCCCTTTAAGGAAACCCCCCTTAGCATCCTCGCCTTCTGTGCGAGCTGGCCCAAGTGAGATCGGTCCACCCGCACTTGCCGGAAGATCACGGGGTCCTTCTTTCTTAGGTTTGCTCGGTGTCCCTTTTTAAAGGGTCCCTTAAAGGGATAAGGGCTTCCTTAAGGGGTCTAGGGTCCCTTTTTAAAGGGTCCTTCTTCTTAGGTCCCCAGGGGTCTCTTTAAGGGATTATGGTTCCTTCAAAGGGTCCTTCGTTCTTAGGTCCCTGCAAATCCCATTTTTACAAGATCTTGGGTCCCTTTAGGGGTTTAGGGGTCCCTTCGAGGTTTTAGGGTTCCTGTAAGGGGTCCTTCTTAGGTCCCTAGGTTTCGGGTTTAGGGTTTAGGGTTCACTTGAGAGTTTCCGAAAATAGGGGACCCCAGTATAGCACCCTAAATAGTAGGAGCCTTATTACAAGGACCCCCAAAATGGTGAGTTCGGTGGTTTAGGGTTTAGGGGTCCTTGTCGTCACTAGGTCCTTTTTTCAGGGTCACAGGGTCCTTCTTCCTTCGGTCCCCAGCGGTCCCTTTAAGGGATTAAGGTTCCTTTAAGGGGTCCGTCTTTCTTAGATCCCTAAGGCTTGGATCCCTTTTTGCGGGTTCGTTTAAAGGGACCCTTTTCAAGGGTCTGTTCAAGGGTCCCTTTTAAAGAGTCCCTGTAAGGGTTTAGGATTTTGAGTTTAGGATTTAGGGTCTAGCATTCAAGGAAAAGGGTCTAGGGTTTAGGGCTTTGTTCTTACGGCTCCAGGGTTCCGTTAAAGTTTCTTTGAGGGTTAAGTTGAGGGTTCCTTTCTGGGCTCCTCCTGTAAGGATTCTATAAGGGGGTCCTTTCTCTCTTGGATTCTACAGGGGTTCAAGGTTTGGGGTTTAGGGTTTAAAGTTTAGGGCTTCAGGTTTCTCGTTTCGGTTCCGGGTTTCGGGTTTAAGGATTAAAGTGCAGGGTGTGGTGTAGTTCAACCGCAGCCAAAGCACTTTGCTTCCTGGCTTTTATCCGGTCTGCCACGTTTTTTGGCATGCAGCTGACGGGTTCCGGGACCCAACATTGATAGTACACTTGGAGGTTCATGGGTAGTTATAAGTGTAGTTATACGTCCCTTAATATGGGTTATAAATGTAGTCACCTTACTTGTAACCCTACGTAGAACTACCCCCCCGAACCTCCACGCAGTGCTCGATCTCCTGCTCCACGAGCTGTGTCATCAGTTGTCCACAGGTTGGACAGCAGAAAGGAAGTGGCCGCTGTCTCAAAGAAGTAAAGTGGAATGGTCCCTGCTTGTATGGTAACGTGCAGGTATACGCCCTCATTCCTTCACCACAGATCAGGCAGCTCGCCACATTTCTCATCACGACGGGGGAAGTGTTGACAGTATTGCCACAGTCAGTCGTGACCAACACCTATTACTATTATTCAAGGCCTCCACGGACGCAACGTCCTCGCGCTTCATATTCATGACCAGCACGATCTGATGCACCAAATTCAAGCAACTTGGTTTCTTCCTGATCGCCCAGCTCATGGTAGCGCCTGTCATGGATGTGCATGGTGCCAAATATCGCTCGCAGACCTGGGGTCCCTCTTGTACACTTGGAGGTTCTTGGGTAGTTCTATCTGGAGTTACCAGTCCCCGAATATGGATTATAGTATATTATAGTCATGGCTACCTTACTTAAAACTCCAGTTATAACCCAAGCAGGTTCGCCATGGACTGCAAAAGACAAGTGGGCGGCGGCCACGAAACCAGGAGCTTATCGGGTTCTTATACCGGACCCAAGAGTAACTTAGGGTGTAGGGTTCAGGGTTTAGAGTGCCCTTTTTCGTCTTAAAGGGGCTTATAAGGGAACCTGAACCTGTATAGGTTTCTCGGGTTGTGGAAGCGTCTAAGGTTCAAGGCCCAGGGGTTCCTTCAAGGGGACACTCGGCCTGGGTTGAGGGTTCAGGAGTTAGAGAATACACTCCTGACCGCACCCACTAGAACTCAAAAGCCTAGACACCTAAACCCGAAATCCTAAGAATCCCTAAACCCTAAGCCTTACATCCTAAACCCCTGGATCGCAAAACCCCTAGCACGAAGCCTCTACACCCAGAAAACCCTCGTATAAAGCCTCTAATGAGACCTTGCTAAGGAGACATTGATAGAGCGTTACCTAATAAACACACGCGAGTCCCAACAACAGCTTTCTCTGGTGCCTGGACGTCTCGAATAAGCCATAGACTCTAGACCCTGAACCTTTTATCCCGGACTCTAAACCCTACAAATAGCCTGTGTTTACTCTTGTAGACCTCAGCACTGCATACCGTTATTCTCATCCCCAACCAGACTCCGCTGCTAAGTCCTACAAGCCCGTGTAGAACTTCCTTACCCTGACCCTGAAACCCTGAACCCCCCAAGAAAAACACGAAAACCCTCAAAACCCCAACCCATAGAATCCCCAAACTGCCTGAACCTAGGGGTTCCTACGTAGTAGTAACTAGGGTTTTAATTAGGGTAACTATACCTGTCACTATTTGTAACCCCAATTAAGGTACTTCTACCTGACTTACTAAGTCCCGTGATCCTCCAAGATTAGGGAGACCCCATTTCAGGTGACTCTTCTGAACCTTCCTTCTGGCTCTCTTAAAGGGGGCCTTATTGAGAGGGTCTATATCCCCAAGGGCCCCCCCTAATCCCAACTCCTAAACCGTAAGCCCTAAAATCCCTTCTGAAGGAACCCCTAAAAAATCTTAACTCTCAATCCTGACTCTTTGGATTTTTGGTCAGTGGCGTGTCGGCTTTGGGATTCAGGAGAAGAAACCCATAAGAACCCTACTCAAAGGATCATGGGACTTAGTAACTAGGGTTATAATTCGGGTAACTATACTTATAACTACTTCTTACCGGACAGCTAAGGTACTTATAACCTTACTTCCCAAGTCCCATAATCCTCCAAGTAGGAGAGCCCAAGAGGCCCTGGAAGAACCCTGCTATGCCTTAAGGTTTAGGGTTTAAGGTAAAAGCCAGAAAGTTGGAATATGAAGGTATCCCACCCTGAAACCAGATTCCAACTTTCTGGAGTTCCATTTAAGGCTTAGGGTTCGGGGCTTAGGTTTGAGGGCAGTCCTCAGGCATGTCCAGAGGCGCCTCCTTCGATACGTCAAGGCTTCAAAGAGTTTTCAAACAAGATAGGAAGAAGTCTAGGATACCCAGTAACCTAGGAACAAAATTAGGCCTCTCTTTTTGGTATTGGGTAACTTTATAAGGAACCTAGGACTACAAGAAAGGAGTAAGGGTACTACTGGGCATCCTAGAAGTTCTACAGAGCTCAACAGCCGGCTTGTTTACATATTAAGTACGTATGTATATACGCATCCTGTATGTCGAAGAAAAGCCCTGTGTTCAAAAGGTCATTGGATAGCTTTGCTTCGTTTAATGCGGCTGTCATCGGGCTTCGTGTTCGGGTTGAGTGTCTCAGGTCTTGCTGCAGGCTTTCCTGTCTATGAGTCTGTAACCTACAGTAGATTCCATAATTCAGAATCTCGGAAGATTGAGACTGTTGAATCGGGGATGTTTCATTGTGGTCCGTGTTCTGGGAAGCCTATCCCAAGCCGGGGCCCTACAGAACAGAGCAGGGATTTAGGACATGGCATACTATAACTTTAGTATGGAGCCCTAAAGGACGACAAAATGCTGGCAAATAGTCAAGCTTCCGGTACTTCGGCATCAGGGAATGTTTGGGGCACCCTGCCAATGGGCCTATTTCTTGCATCCTGGCTTTGGCAAAATTGGAACAATATTTCGCATCGTTATATATGGGAGTTGTCGAAAATGGAGACCTTGATGTACTACCCTATATAATAGGATCCTCATTGTAAGGCCCCCAAAATAACGTACCCCTAATTTTCGGAAACCCCCATATGGATTCGTACCGAAGCCTTGGGGTATGCTGGGATAGAATTAATATAAAAAATTCCCTAAACCCTAAACCCTACACCCTAAACCTTAAACCCCAAACCCTTAAAGAATTATATGGGGCTGCTCCATGGGCTTCAGGATTGCGAGAAATCCCTTCATTCCTGCGCATTCTGTCCCGAAGCCTCCAATTCCGGTTGGGGGTTTAGGGTTTAGGAAACCCCTTAAAGTAGCTACGAAAACCTTAAACCCTAAACCGTCATTGAAGGTGTTCGGTTACAACTTCTGTCGCGGATTGCATGTTAACCCCAGACCCTTGGAGCAAAAAAAACCGAATCTAGGAGCCTATATAAATAATTAGAACAGGGTCTTGAGGTACAATATGCTGCATTTCTATGATTAAAGAACCCCAAAATAGCAATGGCAATTCTTGGGGCCCCTATATTGGGCCCTCCGACGATGCTTGTCATGCTCTCTTTCTTTAGGTTTAGGATTTAGGGTCGAGAGTTTAGGGTTCAGGAATTTGGCTTGAAGGTTCAGGGTCGCGAGCTGGACCCCCGTTGGATTACATGCATCTTCAGGGTTCTCTACTTAAACGATCATGGGACTTGGTAACTAGGGTTATAATCAGGGTAACTATACTTATAAGGTACTTATAACCCCGACTGAGGTACTTATAACCTTGCTTACTAAGTCCCATGATCCAAGAAGTTGGCTGTTGATGTTTGATCCGGGTTTTATGAGGCCTTCCATAAGGTTTCATTCCCAAGGTTTCATACTTGGGCTTTGCTCGAAGGCTTAAGGTTTGGGGCTTTTCCGCATTGCTTTGAGAGTTTAGGGTTGTAGCTTCGGGCAGCTGCTTGTGAACGTGAAGTCAAAGCCTGGAACCCCAAAGCCGTAATATAGCGTGACATGGAATAGGAGTCTGGGCTAGAGAGAAACATGCTTAACACCAATTAGGGAGCTCTAAGAAAAGCAATTCCGAATTCACCAAGCCCCTATATTGAGGCCATCCGAAGCAGCCCGCCAACAAGCCATTCAACCCGTCCTGCGGCACGTCGCTGTAGCTCAGAATGCGCTGGACCGAATTCATCACCTGAGACCCGAGACCCTAAAGACCCCTCAGTCCCCAAACCTCAAACCACCAGGCGGACTAGATCCTTATTGAACTACACCCCTAACCCTGAACCCTAACCCCTAAACCTGAACCTACAGCCCTAAACCCAAACCCCATAACCTGAAGCCGTGAACCCCTAAACTTGCAACACCAACGAGCCCTGATCACCCGATTCCCCTATGCCAAACCCTCAAATCTGCCAAAGCCGTAAAAAACCCTAAACCCTAACCCCTAGGAAAAAGGTTAAACGGTCGGGGTCTAGGGTTCGAAACCGTCGTTTTGTCGCTGTAAAAAATTAGAGACCTTAGCTTTGGAAGGGTTAGGGGTTTGGGTTTAGGGTTTAGGATTTAGGGTTTAGGGATGAGGTAGTTTAGGATGCAACACACCCCCGATAAGCAAACCCCTTCTCTTAACAAGCATTGGCACAGGGATCCTCATATAGACGCTTCAAGACGAAGGGCTTCAGAAACTACTGACACTGTTACAAACCTAGAGACGGTTTAGGGTTTAGGGTTTAGGAAATCCTTGAGCTGAAGAAACCTCCTGTATCTTGCGTATAAAGCACCTACGAAACCCTTTGAAACCATGCATGCTGCAATCCTTCTGAGTCCTCTTCCAAAGGACACCGAAATTCGGGCATAGCTTCAGGGGGCAGGTGCAAGGCGAGCAGCAAAGATCAGCGTCGTGATGCCAAAGGACCTTCAGACACACTTCTGGCTCGGGTAGCAGCGTATCCCTGACAAAAACACGTTAAGAACCCTTGTCAAAACCTTATCCTTGTTAACCGCGGCGTTAAACCTAGGCTGTTTCGAAGGTCCACAAACCTCTGCAAAGCTGTTGCAAGATAGAGCTTTACAAAGAGCGCTTTTCAAGGGCTGTGATAGAGAGAGTGAGAGTTTGCAAACTGTCAATCCCAACTCTCAATCCTGTACTCCCCAACCTTGCATGCTAAGCACCGCAGTTTAAAACCCAAGAGCCACAAAGCCCAAACCAAGCTAGCCTGAATAGGAAACTGACATCAAAGAAGCCTTACATGAGCCGTTTTAAAGTAACCCTGAACCCTAAAACCCTTACCCACCAAAAAATGCCCTAAACCAAAAGAAATCAGAATGGTAGGCTCTCCAGACCCGAAGGTTTCGGGTGTAGGATGTTAGGTATTCAGTTTAGTGAGTAGGGTTTGGGGATTGGGGTTTAGGGTATATGACAGCATGATCATTTGGGCAGGGAGTTGCTGCATTATTCTCGATGGACGTGTCCACGCCCTCAAACCTTAAACCCGATGCCAAATCAGGGGTGTTGGGCTGTTGGCGCCAACTACACTGTAAGTATAAGAATTAATTAAGGAGCCCCTGAAATAGTATTGGTAATTGTTTAGGCCCCTATCAAGAGCTCTGTCGAACTCAGTTTTGAGCTCTTTCTTCTCCAGCTCAAACTTGGCACGCTTCTCCAAGCGGGCTGAGGCTTTGCACGCTCTGCCGCTTCATCTGCTGCGTCCATCTGTAGGCGATGCTTCTCCGTCAACTCGATCTGAGCAACTCGCAGCGCCTGGTGATGACGCTTCAATGGCCCATCTCTGCCCCTCCAGCCACCTGAGCATCGCAGCAGCCACCTGAGCATAGCGGAGCATGGTGCTACCTCACGTAGAAGGTGGCTGCATACAGCACGACATGGCATGGGGGAGATGAAGGCCGTGCTTCGACTGTGCTATCAACCAAAAAGGCCAGCGAAAGAGTTGCCGGCGCTGGCGCTCCACACCCAAATCCTCAAACCTTCAGCCCGAAATCCCTGCCCCGAAAAAACCCCCAAACCCCAAACCCCTAAACCCTAAACCCTTATATATATATATATATATATATATCCCTTATTCCCTACACCTGTAAAGCTCCAAAACCTGTAGGTCCCCTCAAGGTCGGGTCATGGCAAGTTCCAGGGCTCCGGACACGTTGTCAAACTCCACCATTTGGGTGAAGGACCTCATACCAAGGTTTGGGTTTAGGATTTAGGCTAGGATACCGAGTAACCTAAGAATAAAAAGGCCTCTCTTTTTGGTATTGGGTAACTTTATAAGGAACCAGGACTACAAAAAGGGAATAAGGGTATTACTGTGCATCCTAGTAGGGCTTCAGGGTTTGGGGTTTGGGCCTTTAGAGAAATACGGCTTTTACAAGGACCTCGGAGGGTCTACGGCTTGGGGTTCTAGGTTCGAGTAGCTTCTTGTATACTCTCGATCTAAACGGGTCCTGACGGTGCGTGTTAAGGATTCAGGGTTTCGGGTTGGAGTAGGGGCTTTACGGGCTTACGATAAACAGTTTAGGATTTAGGTTTTAGGGTCTATCTAGCGCTTCGGGTTTAGGGGACATCCGGACTAATTCGGTATGCAAGAGCTCCGCTTTGCGGTCTTCACACTCGGTGGCCGGGCCTGCGCGATGTAGCGTTTCAAAATTTAAGCTCGCCAGTGCGATTTTTTCAATTGGCACGTGCCATCGCCCCGGTCCAGTCTAAGCCAAGGGAAAACATCTGTCACACTACTGCACAATCTTTGACCACAGGACGAATGCTATTTGTACCGCCCTTTGCTAATATACGGGCCTTAACAATTAGAATACATAGGGTTTTGGGGCCCATTATACTATAATCATACTAGGGATTCACCAAAATAGTATTGGTAATTATTTAGGGCCCTATGGTAGGCAGCTCGGTTCTGGAATATAACTACTTTGGGGGCTAGCTTTACCAGAGGCCGGAACTTTCTATATAAATGGTTTGGGGGCTTACGAACCCTACTTAAAGGATCATGAGATTTAGTGGCGAGGGTTACAAAAGAAGGTAACTATACTATACTTACTCTTTTTTGAAACCCAAGTAAGGTACTTCTAGCTTATGCCCTTATCTACTAAGTCTCATGATCCTCCAAGTAATGGTTAAACATGGAGCCCTTAACATGAAAGCCCCTATTGATCTCTGAACATAATTATACTATATTGGCTGCAGTCGCTTTTCGGGCAAATGAAGCCTTCTTGAGAAGTAGCTACTACAGTAGGAAAGAATTTGATCCAGGAATTGCAGAAGCCTCATGAGTTTATCGCTGAAACCCCTGAAACTCCCCGAGTCTGTTCCAACCCGTCAACCCCCCAATCAATCCCAAACCCTGAACCCAACCAAGAACCCTAAGAGCCCAGACCCTAACCAAACCATTGAAGCAGAAAGCAACCTCAACCAACAAACGAACAAAGGTCCAAGAGGCAACGTGATGATTGCTGCGAGGGTCCCCAGTGGCATGCCCGTCCACATTCCACCAATGGCAAAGAGGCACCTCACTCTGTGGTCGTGCGGACTCTTGCTTGGATTCCGTTCGCTTGTTGCTTCTGCGTCAGGGGAGAGCGGTTGAGTAAACCTTAAACCCTAAACCCTAACCCTAAACCCTAAATCCTAAACCCTAAACCCTAACCCTAAACCCTAAACCCTAAACCCTACACCCTAACCCTAAACCCTAAACCCTAAACCCTAAACTTCAGGGTTCGGGCTTCAAGGCTTGGAGTTGAGATGAGCTGGGGGCTTAGGGCTAAACACTATGCTGTAAGTCCTTAAGCTTTGGATTGAGGGTTTACTTGCGTGTCGGGGTCTGCATTTGCATAATGGATCAGGGCGGCTTGCTATTCCTGGACTTTCAAGTAGTCGGGTTTAGGGGAGTTGGGGTTAAGGGTTTGGGGGATCAACAGGGTTCCTTAAAGGGATCCTTAAAGGGTTCCTTAAAGGGATCTATAGGGTTCCTTAAAGGGATCTATGGGGTTTAGGGTGTAGGGGTCTAGGCGGTTTAGGATTTGGGCAGGGTGTAAGCTTTAGGGTTCAGGGCGCTGGGACAAGAGCTGGAGGGAGATGCTCCAAGATTAATTAGGGGACTTAGTCGGGCTAAACGGGATAACTCTTACAGCTTATTGGAGTTCAGCTGTTTGTCGCATCAATGTCGTCGCGACGGTCTGCTGTGAGGTGGCTATGATTCAAATTTGCAGTGCGTCGCGTGACCAGGTGGTAGAGGTCACACTGTCCTGCACGAACGTGATCTTGGTCCTACATGTGTTCTGAAATGTGCCGGCTCTTGCACGAGTTGCGGGAGACCCTAAACCCTGAACCCTAAACCCTAGACCCTAAACCCTGAACCCTAAACCCTAGACCCTAAACCCAAAGCCCTAAACCATCTCCCAGACATCTCTGGAGTAGCGGTGCCGTCGCCGTCGGCTCCAAACGCCAGCGAACCTCTTGAAAGCTGGGGGTCCCTACATTCGGGTGGTTGTCAAAATTAGGGCCCCTTTTTGGGTAACCTAAATATTAGGTGCCGTACTAAAATAGGGACCCAAAAAGGGACCCTAATTCTGACAACCACCCATTTGCTTCAAATTGTCAGCTGTAGACTGCAGCAGCCTGCGTGCCTTGTTGTCCTGCCTGACGGCGGTCCCAGACATTTCTCTGCCCTCTGGCTCTTCCTCGCCCCGGGCATATTCTATGTGCTTAACTTGGTCGTGATCGCCGAGGGCTGATTTCGTCATGGGTTCGACTACCTGTTCCTCAGCATAGCTGGTTGAGGCTAGCCTGAACGCCACCTGTGCCTCCGGTAGTCCGGATTTGGGAGCCACATCAAACATCAAACCAGGGACCCAGGGGTTAGGGTTTGGACTTTGGCTTAGGTTATGTACGCATAACATACATGCATACATACATACATGTGCATATAAACATATATACTTACATATGCACGTATATATATATACAATATTTACACATGTATATATATACATATATATAATTATATATATGTATACACACACCCTGTCTTGTCATTAAGAGCACAACACACCACTTCGACCCTCACATGCAGCCTCGCACCCACAAGCCCGAACTCTCATTGAAGGTGTGAAGGTCTCTTGAGCCTTTGGTCCTTGTAAAACCCAACTAGCTGTAAAGTGGGCTGGCTTGCAGGGTTTTTGAACTTCAATCGTTGTCTACTGGAAAGCCAGCGGCTGTACATATGCCAAACAAAGGGCCCGCATGTATTGGCTTCCCGACGCAACCCATGCCGTAAGGCCCTCATAGTACGGAATAAAGACTTTTCCACCCGGAGACCCCGGTAACTGCAGGCTGGGGGCGTCAGCGTGCCAAAGGTGAGGAAGATCCTGGTGCAGAGAGAAAGCCTCCTTAATGGCAACCACGTCTACAACCCTCTTGGGAGGCCTGGTAGCATCACTATTGCAGCCCAAGCCCTTACACCCCTGAACCCCAGAAGGCGCCAACGGTTGGGAAAGTCGAGTATTCTCGATACATCCACAAACTCTTCCCTGATAGCTTGAATTGGCGCACGTTCTGGATGGGCCATGGTTGCTGTACGTGTGGTGGTTTGAAGTCCCTGTTGTCGCACACTCTAACCGTGGAGACCCTTGAAATATCAAAGCTACGACAAACCCCGAAGGCAAAAGCAAAATATCAACGAATACGTGCCTACCTATGCCATGAGTGCACACATGCATGGAAACATACACACATGCACATACATTTTCACATGCAAAAACACAAGAGAAAACACAAGAGTACATGCGTACAAGAACCTTGAGCATCTCAACAAGAAAAGAAAACTTTGCCAAGCTGCAAAAAGCCATGAAGCTGCAAGATCCCGAAGGAAGCTCTTTATCGAACTGCAGCACTACGTCCTTAAACCCTTTCAAACCCTTCCAAGCAATCTACAGAAATCCCTCTAACTCCTTTACAGTAAACGCCTCAACATTGAAACCCTGAAATGTTTAAACTCTAAACCCTAAGAACTCTGCAAAGCCTTATAAAGACCCTCATTCCTCAAACCTAATATGCCAAATCTGGCTAGTATAAGGGCCTGAATGATATAAGTAAAAGGGCCTGAATGATTAGAAAAAAATATTGGAGCACATTCTACTAGAATCATAACAAGGATGAGGCTGCTAAGGAGCAATATTGGTAATTTTTCAAGCTTCTATATCTAGGTTCCTGAGTAGCCCCTTTACAATAAGGGCACCCTTTTTCCTACTATTGTTCGGTTTCAATAAGGGGACCCTAAACTAAAAAGGGCAAAAGTGCACTACTCAGGAACCTAGTAAACCCTAAACCCACACAGATCCTTGAGAGAACCCGTTAAGAAACCCTTCAAGGAACCCTTAGACCCTAAACCCCTGTAGGTCCCTTATAAAACGTAAGGAACCTTATAGTATCCTTTAAGGAACCCTTTGAACACGGATACTCCCCGCCTGGACTGGGCCCAGGCTCGGCTCATGGCGTTCACGAGGGTCCGTGTCCTTTTTGTGAGGAATTTCCCTGTAAGGGTGCCTCTAAGGGTTTAGTTTAGTTTAAGGCTTCTTTTTTTTTGAGGGCTCTTTTCCATCTAAGGCTTCTAAGGTTTAGGGTTTAGGGTTTCGGTTTGTGGGGAGGAATTTCCCTGTAAGGGTGCCTTTAAGGGTTTAGTTCCATTCCAAGGGTTCCCTTAAGCGATCTCTAGGGTTCCTTTAAATTGTCCCGTTAAGGGATCTATGAGGTTCCTTCTAAGGGCTGCTTCAAAGAGATCTCTAAGGTTCTTTAAAGGATCCTGTTAAAGGTCTGTCTGAGGATTCCTTTTAAGGGGTTCCTATAAGAGTTCGTTCAAGGGTTTAGGGTTCAGGGTCTTAGAATTTAGGGTTTTAGGGTTTAGGGGTTTAGGTTTTATAAGGATTTAGTGCTTGGGCTCAGGGCTTTATGTGGATGTCTAGCTGCGGGTGCCGCAACGGTCACTCACAAGTGTCAGCACCAATGCTTCCTCTCCAACGCAGGACGTCCTTGGAGAATACATAAGTTTTGGGCCCCCATTTTAGTATAACTACGGTAAGGAATCCCCGAAATGGCGTTGGTAATTGTTTAGGCCCCTTTTGTATGCCACGACTCTTGCTTCCACCAGGCCTCCACTGTTGGCGGTGCCTCTGGTAGTTCTTGTCTCATTTTTGAAATCCATTAGCTGATTAATTACTCATCTAAAATCAGACCTCAACCATTTTCCCAACTTACGAAAACACATGTAATGCAACATTTCCGGAAAGCTCATACAGTTGTCATCCGACCAATGCTTTTGCAGCTTCACACACGTGTAGATCTGAATGTGCAGAGCTGTCGCCAATGGTGGCTCAAGGTCTGGAGACAGACAGCCATGAATGCCCAGACCCATCTCGCCCTGCCTACGTGCGGAATGCTCATCGGCCCTCCCGGCGTGCCGAGGGACGGAGCCGGTGGGATCACCGGGCTGAATCCTGCGCACAAGCCAATGGAATCAAAAAACACGACCAGCGGCCCCAGTCCCGCCTTCCGGAGCCCCTTGCGTGAACACGCCGTAGAGCTCCAGGTAGTTGCCCGCCCTCACGCTCACGCCTGCTCGCGGAGGACCGCCGCCAGCGCGAGCTTGGTTGGGCTTCGGAATCTCGAGCTCTGCAATGGCGCTGTGCAAGCTCGGTCTTGCGATTCCTGAAGCCGGTCTTGCCGCAGTGCTCGGTGTTGAACTCTCTGGGTCTAAAGGGGCGCCGAAACCCAAAAGTCCCAAACCCTAAATCCTCAACTCTTAAACCCTAAACCCTCAGATCTTAAATTCCTAGCTTATAAACCCTAAACTCTGAACCCTCAAGTCTTAACCCCTACACTCGTAAACCAACCCCAAGCTCCTAAACCCTAAACCTAAACCTAAATAAACCGATACACCACCGTTTGCAAAACATCGACTAAAGAGCTCAGGGCTTCAAGCCTGCGTTTTAGGGCCCGAGCTTAGGCCTTAGGGCTTGGGGCTTAGGGCTTAGGTCTTTTGCTTTAGGGTTTAGGGTTTAGGGTTTAGGGTTTAGGGTTTAGGGTTTAGGGTTTAGGGTAGGATAGCGCCGTCACAAGAAACCTTCCATAGCTAGTCTCAGAGCCAACCTCCAAGACACAAACTCTGAACGTCTGAAGCCTTCGAACCCATGCACACACGGTGTGGAGCTTAGGGTTTAGGGTTGAGGGTTCTAGAAGCAATTCATATTCACAGAACCCATAACTTGATAGGGTCCCGAACTCGTAATATAGGGGCCTTAATAATTAGAGTAGGGTTTTGGGGCCCATCAGTCTATGGTTACAATAAGGAACCCCAAAATAGTGTTGGTAATTATTTTGGCCCCTATAGTACTCTGTTCGCGTTCGAGTTCAGGGTTAGTGAGGGTTGAGGGGCGAAGGTCAGGGACGGTGGGGTGTCTCGATCTCGAGCTGGACCTGTTTCGAGTTAGTTTAGAGTTCTGTCATTGGCTATCTATGTTTAAGCACGAATTGATAATCAAACCTACATTCTCTCCCATTCACTATCTAAGTTAACCCCCCCCTTACACGTTACGTGCCTTAACGCTAAACCCTAAACCGCCGGACCCTAAATTCCTAAACGCCCTCCTCAACCTTTGCGTGCGATGGTGACTGCTGCGGTCCTCACAGCAGCGTGAACTTGACGATGATACCTTCAGAGTTCAGTTCACAGAGTGTCATTGCCGCCAGGGTTGAAGGCCTAGCGTTTAGAGTGTGTTAGGGCGAGTTGATCTTAAAAGGCTACCGAGTTTTCAGATTGCTGACTCAGTGCCTAATGAGAACAGGGAGACGTCATATGGACTTAAAACAGCGTAGGTAGTTCAGGGTTGGAGGTCTGTCACTTCCATAGCTATCCACGTGTCGGAGGAGTGCTCCGCCTCGCTCACTACAAAGCGATGTTGATGGAAAGCGAGCCACAAAATGCTAAGGCCAGCACATATGGTTCAATGGATGGCATTCATGATGAGAAAGCACAGCTCTTGGTCAGCACGGTGCTTGATCCACGAGTGTGCTGTCAGCAGAACCAGTGACTTTTCCCCTCTATCTTTGAATGCAGTGTTGGCGGTGATGATAAGCCGTTGGACAAGGGACCTGCGATGTCGATATTGCATAACATCTTCTGGCATACAGCACGTCTGTGTGTAGACCACATTTTGGGAACCTTCCTGCGTGGTTTAGGGTTTGTCAGGATTAACGCTCGATCGTCTGAAAGTCGATGTTTGGGGGTTCTAGACAGCCTTCCGTGCAGGACTCTGTAAGAATCTCTGTAGCTGCAGCCCTCCTAATGCAGTCGCCAGATATGCGTGGCTGCACATGGATAGGCTGCAGATTTGGGGATCTACAAGGTTCCAGCGAATTCTGAAACCAGAGGTGTCCGGCGTGCTGTCGCCAACCCAAGACACCACAAGGGAACCTCCAAATGAAATTACATAACCCTCGCGTCAGAGCAAGATTTCCAGGGTCCCAAACCCTAAACCCTAAAACCCGTAAAGAAAGTCCTAAAAACCCCTAAAAACCTTTGAAACCCTCAACCCTCAAGAACCCTACAAAACCCAAAAAACCCTAAAATCCTAAATGCCCCAAAACCTCAAAAACACCAAAAACCCTAAAGAAGGACACCACAAGGGGAGACTCCTGAACTTCGGGCTTTCCTACGCAGATTCCCGGGAGGATGGAACACGGGAGATCCCCCTAATTTGGCAGCCCTATACTGTTCCCTCATAGAGTCCGAACAAGGTCAAAGCCTAGGATCCTTACGCGGTTGTCAATTAGTAACAACAAGCCAGTCAGTACGCCCTCCAAGGGGAACCTTAACTTGAAACCTTAGACCCTATATGTACAGTCCAATCTGGGACATCCAGTTCAGCCAGTATCGAAATTTGCGCCCTATGTGATGATCGGCCTATAGCAGCAAACTTCCCGAGCTTCTGAACCTAAAAACAAAATCCAGTGTTCCTGCAACGGACAAGGTGTCATCACAGCGGCGCTTGGACATCCAGTTCAGCCGCGAGGCACACATAAGAACTCAGATGTGTTGCACCGGATTTGGCTTCGTGATCGTAGAGTTTCAAGATTGAGGCTCCGAGGCATACAGTGAGGCTTTCAATTTGGCGGCGCAACATTTCCGAGTCCTGGCGCAACAAAGGTTGCTGCCTGCATGAGGCAGCAGGCACCACCTGTTTCACACGCAAGTTGACATTAGAATCTCACCAATGCCCTTACCCCAGCCATACGCAGCCTGTCATCCAAGCCCCCCAATGTGGTGACGAAGTTCAAGCAGACCCTTCAAGTAGACCCTAAACCCTAAACCCTTAAAGGGAACCGTTAAAAGGAACCCCAACCCTACCGTCAACCCCAACCCCCCCTCCCTCCCCAACCTGGCGACGAAATTCAAGCAGACCCTAAGCCTAAACCCTTTAAAGGGAATCCTTAAACGGAACGACGTTCAAGTAGACCCCAAACCATAAACCCTTCACCCTAGCCCCGACATCCCCCCCTCCCACCCCCAACCTGGCGACGAAGCTCAAGTAGACGCTAAACCCTTAACCCTAAACCCTTAAAGGGAACCCTAACCCCACCACCAGACCCTGAACCCTTATGGATCCTTTAAAGGAACCCCAACCCCGCCAGCCTGGCGACGAAGTTCTCAAGTAGACCCTAAACATCCCTAAACTCTTAACCCTAAACCCTTGAAGGGAACCTACACCCTAAACCCTAAATCCTACCTTATGGATCCTTTAAAGGAACCCTTAGCCCCCAACCTGGCCACGAAGTTCTCGACCCCAAAACCCCAAAGCCCTATAGATCCCTTATAGAACCCTTATGTATCCCTTTAAAGGAACCCCTAGAACCCTCATAGATCCCTTTAAGGGACCCCACCAACCTGGCGACGAAGTTCAAGTAGACGCTAAACCCTTAACCCTAAACCCTTAAAGGGAACCCTAACCCCACCACCAGACCCTGAACCCTTATGGATCCTTTAAAGGAACCCCAACCCCACCAACCTGGCGACGAAGTTCTCGACCATGTTGTTCGCTCGGATGGACACGGCCGTACCCATGGCCATGGCTTGGATGTCCTGTGGAGCTCACGGGGTTTAGGGTTTAGGGCTAGGGGTTTAGGGTTTAGGGTTTAGGGTTTAGGGTTTAGGGGTTCAGGGTTTAGGGTTTAGGGTTTAGGGTTTAGGGTTTAGGGTTTAGGGTTTAGGGTTTAGGGTTTAGGGTTTAGGGTTTTGGGTTTAGGGCTAAGGGGTTTAGGGGTTTGGTGGATAAGGAATTTAGGGTTTAAGGTTTCGGGTTTTATGGGTTTAGGGTTTAGAGGTTCGCAGGGGTTTTGCAAGGGTTCCTTTAAGGGCCCCTTTGAAGGGATCTATAGGGATTCTGTAAGGGTATAGGGTTTAGGGCCTAGTTGGAGGTTCGGGGGTAGTTATAAGTGGGTTATGAGTAAGGTAACTACAATTATAACCCATATTAGGGGACTAGTAGCTCCACTAACTGCCCACCAAAATCCAAGTAGGGGTTTACTTACAAAGGTTTAGTAGGATTCCTTTTACGGGCTTTGGGGATCTTATAAGGGTTTTATAAGTTTCATTTTAAGAGGTTTTGTCGTCTACACGGGCTTTAAAGGATTCCTTTTAAGGGGTCTGGGGTTCTATAAGCATTTCATCGGGTTCCTTTTAAGGGGTTTAGGGTTTACCCTAAGGCCCCCAAAAGGGTCCTGCACCAAGGCTCCTGATGGCTTAGGGTAGTTTAAGCTGTTCTACCCCGCAGGCCCCAAATGGGGTCTGACAAGCGTTCTCTTGAGTTCCGCTTAAAGGGCTTAGGGTCAGGGGGTCTACGGGGTTTAGGGGTTTATTGCCCGAAGGCTCCTAAGAGAGTCAGGGTCATTCTGGGGTAAGGGTTTGGGCTTTGAGCGCCAGGACTTGAAATCTCACAACAGTGGGTTTAGGGTTTAAGGTTCAGGGTTTAAGGTAACAAGGGTCCAAGAGCCTTTGGGTAGGGCCTGTTTGCGAGGTTTTTCATAGGCGTTCTGAGCTTTGATAAAGCTGGCATCTTTTCGTAAGGGTTTCATAGGTTTTATCAAGGCTTGTAGCGTTGCAAGGATTTCAAGCATGTTCGGGGACTCCCAAAACCCTCAATTAAGGAATACACCTGAGATCATGTCACTAAGGAATCTGGAACAACAGGTGCAGTGCTTAATTCACGGACTCGGGAGTGGATGGGTACTGTTGATGATATAAATCCTGCATTACCTTAAGGGCCCTAAACTATGGGAATTATGGTATATTCCTTATTATGGGTCATGCAAGATTTCTATCATCAGCCCTAAACCCTAAAACCCTATAGATCCCTTAAAGGAGCCCCTTAAGGGTACCCTTATAGATCCCTTTAAAGGAACCCCTAGGATTCATATCATCAACCGTATGTTGGTGTTTTCCACAGGGTCTCAAGGGTCACTTGATGGTTCTTTGCCTTACCACTATGGGCTATTAGACCCTAAAGATCCCTATTAGGACCCTATTAAGGGTAGATTAAGGTACCCATAAGGTCCAATAGCCCATAGTGGTATATGCCTGTTCTGAAAGCGGTTCACCTTCGATGGGGTTTGTAAGCACTTACGACTTGGGGGTTGGTGTAGAAGTTTTGGGCCCAACCCCAAGTCCTACTCCCTGAACCCGAGCCGACGTACCAAAGCCTACACCCTAAGCCAAGAGGCTAAGCCCTAACACAAATACACTCCAGTGTCTGGCTTTCGTTTTTTCGTTTCAGGGGGTGGGCTATAGAGGCGTTGTATAATAAGCATTAGGGAAGTTTATTTTTACTAAAGCGATACTAAGAAAGCCTACGGACTTATCTCGGTAAATGTTCAGGCTTCTCGATCAAACCCTCAGCCACAAACCACTTTCCTGGAGGTTCGAGAGGATGTGCTTACTGTAGCTCACCAAGGAGATGGCCGTGTTGGCATAGAGGGTGAAGAAGTACCTGCTGGCCACGAGTTTGGGAGGCTTGAAATCCGCGGTCTTAAGTCAAGTAGCACTCTTAGTGGCCCGAAGGACTTACCTTTGGTTAGTACCTTTGGTAGTAGTAGTAGTAGTAGTAGTAGTAGTAGTAGTAGTAGTAGTAGTAGTAGTAGTAGTAGTAGTAGTAGTAGTAGTAGTAGTAGTAGTAGTAGTAGTAGTAGTAGTAGTAGTAGTAGTAGTAGTAGTAGTAGTAGTAGTAGTAGTAGTAGTAGTAGTAGTAGTAGTAGTACTAGTAGTAGTAGTAGTAGTAGTAGTAGTAGTAGTAGTAGTAGTAGTAGTAGTAGTAGTATAGTAGTAGTAGTAGTAGTAGTAGTAGTAGTACTAGTAGTAGTACTAGTAGTAGTAGTAGTAGTAGTAGTAGTAGTAGTAGTAGTAGTAGTAGTAGTAGTAGTAGTAGTAGTAGTAGTAGTGGTAGGGAATGGAAGAATGGTAGTAATAGTAGTTATAATTGTACCCCATTCCTCCATTCCCTACTAACCAAAGAACCCTAAACCCTAAACCCTAAGAGGAGAAACAAGCTCGGCGCAAGCAACGGTTGAGGGTCTCAGGCCTAAGGTTTCGGCTTGCTCCCACATACTTAGACTTGTAAGTGCTGTGAAGAGTATCAGTTAGGACTCTCTTCGTCCAACCCTTTTTGCGCAAATGATCATGGTACGTAGTAACTACGGTTAGAAGTAATGTAACGAACTATAATGCAACACCAAGTAAGGTACTTGAAGGAACTGTTAAGCCCAATGTCCTGCAGTAGCAAAGAGCACCCCACTATGTGGTGGAAATCATCCCTACCAAAATCCGCCTAAGCTTGAAATTTTCCAGGGCCCCTTGATGCAACAGAAAACCTCTCAACACCACAGCCCTGTCCGACGCAACTGTGGCACGCGGCATCCTTGACCATCGCCGGGAGCACCACATGATGCAGTTGAACCCTCAACCGCGTGCTCTATAATCCTTTCAGACCCTGACAGATCCCGGAGGGGCACGCCATGATTAAGTAGAACCTTCAACCCTAATGCCACACCCTTTCGCCGTAAGCCCTTAACCTTAAACCTTAAACCCAGGCCTAGGCAGCCCACCTACTGTGGGTCGCAGTACCGCCCGGTCTGGGACCAGAGTACCGGAACGCGTTCGCCCTGCCCTCCCTGCTACGACAACGTCAGTGCTCAATAAAAGGCTGGCCCCAATAAGCGTAGCTAAAGATACCCCGAAGCGTGAACCATTTCCCAAGAAAAAGGTCTAGCTCGCGAGCCTTGGCCGCTGCTGTTACCACACGGGCTTTTGCGTGCGCCCTGTGCGCCCTCACGGGACTGTGCGAGCCTTTCGGCGACTTCTACCTGTCGACTGCCGCTTGCGACCTGTCCCGTCCGACTTTGTCTCCGCTTGGAGGCTCATGGGACTGAGTAAGGCTATAAGTACCTTAATTGAGTTTATAAGTAGTTACAAGTATAGATACCCTACTAATGACCCTAGTTACTAAGTCCCATGACCCTGTAAGTTCGACTTCGGCTCCGCTTCCGTGTTGGAAGGGCCAGAAAGCCAAGGCTCCAGATCGGATGCGGACCACTTCCCCGCCATGCAGTGCTGCCTGCTAAGCGACGCTAAACCCAAAGGGTCCAAAGTACCAACATAGTAGAATGTAAGGCTTCTATATTAGGAAGTTCTATTGTGATTTGGGGAAGTCCCCATATTTGTTGCCTAGGACCCGTTGGGAAAGCCTAGTGGAGAGGCGGATTGACAGCGCAAGGCCCGGGGTGTTACACGCCCGAGTGCGTGACCTCGCCTAACACACCTGCAGACCTAAACCCTTAACCCCAAACCCTTAACTAAACCCTTAATTAACCCTTAACCGTAAACCCTCAACCCTAAACACCAAACCCTAAACCCTTAACCGTAAACTCCGTGAACCCTCAACCCTAAACTGAGGGAGCACCCCATGATGCAGTAGAACGGCATGGCCGCCAGAATCAGAGGCCAAGGAATCCTCGGCGGTTGTGGGTGGCTTTGGAACACTCAGAGTTGGACATGTATACACATACATTCATACAGACATATTATGCTGAAGCCCAAGAGACCTGAAAATATCTAAAGCCTCTAAACCCTAAACCATCCTAGACCCTCAGCCTCTAGAAGGCACTTCTCCATTAAGGGCCTTATATATCTAAGATAAAAACTTGGTTCAACTGTTTCTGAGTGGGGGCCGTATCCTTGTTCAGAGCTGAGTTTGCTAAGGGCTTCACGATCAGGGATTAAGGGCTGAGGGTTTAGGAGTGCAGGTCTTAAGGCTCCAGGGTGTAGAGTGTAAAGTTTAGGGTTCAGGGCTTGACGGGCTGTAGGGGTTTAGGGTTCAGGTCTTTAGGGCTTTACTGTGCAAGCTTGAGGGCTCTGCACTTTAAGGCTTTAGGGTTCAGGCTTAGGGTTTGGGAATAAGGGTTAAGGTTCAGAGCTCAGGGCTTCAACTGGTTGTTGGTTGATGTTTGAGCTTAGGATTTAGGTCACACTTCCCGAGGAACTGAATCAAACAACTGCCCCCATGATAAGTAGAGCATGTCCTATACTTGGTTATATACATACATACTATACATCCAAACAAAAAATGCATATTAGACTCGCTTGTTGAACGGGGACCCGGCAAAGCCTTGCACAGCCTTTACAGCATCCCTGTGGAACGTTCGTAGAACCCGTGGACAAGCCTACGATAAAGCCATAAAGCCCTCAAAACCCTGAAACCTGATCCGCAACCCCTTTGAACCCTGTAAGCCCTAAACCCAAACATGGTAAGAACACCCCTACTTGGAGGGTCGGGGGACTTAGTAAGTAGATGGTAAGTAGACTTAGAAGTACCTTAAAAGGGACCCTAATTGGGGTTATGGTACTTATAAGTCCTTAAAATAATCAGTTACTAAGTCCCCCGACCCTCCAAGTATCAAAGCCTAACTGCATCCAGGGCACACAAAAAATGACCAGAGCTGTGCCACAATGATGTAGGCGGCGGTGCAGAACCTCTGGTTCGATCCATAGGGTTCAAAAGTAGGGGCAAAGAGAAATTAGAAGAGGGTTCCGTGTTATGCTATATTATGTATATATATATATATATACACACTGTACTCTAATACTATACTACTACCCGCAACCCATAAATAGTGCTGGTAATGGTTTAGACCCCATGTTAAGGGGGGCAGGGGGGGGTTCTGGGTTCCTTTAATGGTTTCCTGAAAAATGCCTCTGAGGAGTTTCTACAAAGCCTGATTTAAGGGTTCATGCGAGGGCCCCTGCACGGATTCCTAGGTGTGGGGGTTTAGGGTTTAAGGTTTTGAGGTTTCCGGCAGGGTTTCCTGTCAGGTTTCCTTTGAGGATTCCCTTGAGGGCTCCGTGGGGGTTTCGGGTTCTGCCTTCCCGAGGATGGACTCTTTTCGGTTTGTGTTGCATGGATAGGGGCAGGCTTCAAACTTTACTTCCCCCCGATGCAAGCCACCTTCCACTAACACTCGAGACAAGGTGCTACGTCGAGAGGCGTAGAGTCTGGTGGCGGGGGGTAAACCCTAAACCCTAAACCCTACATTCTATACCTTAGGACATGCCTTACCATTGATTAGTAGGGAATGGAAGAATGGTAGTAATAGTCCTAAACCCGGACCAAGACCACCAAAGACTCCAGAAGCCCGTAGCAACAACCTTCTAATCAAGGGGTGGGCCTCACTTCGTGTTCAGGAGCCCTCTCCAACTTATGACCCGAAAACCCCAGAACTCGGCAACAAACCTCAAACTCTCGATGGACACACAAGTAGATGTACCGCTGTCGTATGAACTGTGGGCTAAGAACTAAAGACTGGCTCTGAAAGGCAGAATGCCCTGCTCTCTGAACCTCGAATCTTAAACTAGACCCAAGAGTAACCTAGGAATAAAAAGGGTGCCCTTTTTGGTTTAAAGGGGGTTATAAGGGAACCTAAACCCCCAAAAAAGGGAATAAGGGCCTACTCTGGGTCCTAGTAGACATAAGCGATAAGCAAACATCAAGAGTTTAGTGTTTAGGGGTGTTTAGGGTTTAGGGTAAGCTTAGGCACCCGAAAGACGTAAACCCGAGAAAGCCCCAACAACCCCCAAGGCAGTTCTCAAAGAACGCCGACAGAATCTCCCTACACCGCTAAACCATTTATGAGCCCTTAAACCCTAAACCCTTAATGAACCCTTGAACCCTAAACCCTTAATGAACCCTTAAAGCCTAAACCCGTAATGAACCCTTAAAGCCTAAATCCTTAATGAACCCTAAACCCTTAATGAACCCTTGAACCCTAAACCCTTAGTGAACCCTTGAACCCTAAAGCCTTAATGAACCCTTAAAGCCTAAACCCTTAATGAACCCTTAAAGCCTAAACCCTTAATGAACCCTAAACCCTTAATGAACCCTCAAACCCTAAACCCTTAATGAACCCTTGAGCCATAAACCCTTAATGAACCCTTAAAGCCTAAACCCTTAATGAACCCTTAAACCCTAAACCCCCGGAACCCCAGCTGCAGGAAGGCAGCATGCTCGTGAGAATCCCCGGCACTTGCCTCAGCTGGCAGATGTCTGGGTTTTTGTCGCGGGTATGTACCGCGCATAAGGCTGAATTATGCCCAGAGGGCCCATATACACTACCATTATGGAATTAGCTCCTAAACGACCATCCCTGTTATGGGCATTGGGGGCCCTAATTCCATAATAGTAGTGTATATGGACCCTCTCAGATGGGACATTCTGTTTAGTCCTTAAACCACATGCAAGACCTAAAGCCCAAACCCTAAACGCCGGAACCTTAAGACTTTTAGCAGCATCACCGTGATAGACAGAAACTTCCTTAGTTCTGGTCGTGGTCCCACTTGAAGGCTCTGCTTCAGTATACATACCTCGACTGTGAAGGCTCAATGCAGACCAGTGAACCATTGCCCTGCTTTCCTTTAAAAAAAGGACCAAAATAACAAGGGTACCCCGGCAGCCTGGCAAGCAGCGCGATAAAGGGAACCCCCAAAAGAGCATCCCGCAAGTCAGGCCCTGAAAGAAGTTGGTATAGGCGCCTATAGGAGTCCTTGAATAAGCCTGTGAGAACCTTATGGAATCCATGATATAGGCTTTGGGGGGTTTAGGGTTCAGGGCTTAGAGGATATCAGCCCTTCACAAAAGCCTAAGCCCGAGAATCCCCAAACCCTAAACCCCTGAACCCTTCACCCTAAACCCAAAACCCCAAACCCTGAGCCATCTTTCAATGCCCTGTTGCACGTCGATGGTGCCAACGTCGCCTGTCAACCGGTTGATCAGGCGTCCAACCTCGTAACGCTTCGCGTTCGGAGTAGGGGGTTTAGGGTTTTAGGGTGTAGGCTGTAAACCCCCCAAATACCCTCTAATATACCCCAAATACCAACGATTAACGCTGATAAGGCCTCCATTAAATGGCCTTTGGGGGGGGGGCCCTGGTAGGGTTCAGAGTAGGGTTAGGTACAGTAGCTGTGTATAGGGTTCATGGTCGGAAGCCATAATTAATACAGACAGACTCCTTGCGGCTCTGGGTAGGTCCTCTTCACTGTACGGCATTAAGGTCTTGTTGAGCTCCTTTCTCAAAAATGAACTCAGAAAAAAGGTTAAGGGCTACGTGACCCGCGTTTCGGCGGAGTTTCTTTGGGTTGCTCTGTTAGGGGTGAAACCCCAAAACCCTACTTGGAGGATCATGGGACTTACTAAGTAAGGTTATAAGTACCTTAATTGGGGTTATAAGTAGTTATAAGTATAGTTACCCTAATTATAACCCTAGTTACTAAGTCCCATGATCCTTTAAGTATACCCTGTTTGATCTGAGCTTTCTGCAGGCTGTGTATCTCGACCAGGACAACCAAGCTCTACACCCCACCGAGCCCCACAGCCTACTAAGACCCGCACTCCTGAATCCCGAATACTTAAAGGATCATGGGACTTAGTAACTAGGGTTATAACTAGGGTAACTATACTTATAACTAGTTATGACCCTAATTAAGGTACTTATAACCTTACTTACTAAGTCCCATGATCCTCCAAGTAACCCTGAACCCTAGGCCGTAAACCCCCTATTTTCTGGGACCCAGGCCGGCTGCTTGTCAAAGAAGAGGTCGATCGGCGCCCGGAGGAGTGCCCCGAGGGTGTCCAAGTAGATAGACGCTGACCTCAGGGCCCCGGTTTAGGGCTCAGGGTTTAGGGTTTAGGGCTTAGGGTTTAGGGTTTAGGGTTTAGGGTTTAGGGTTTAGGGTTTAGGGTTTAGGGTTTAGGGTTTAGGGTTTAGGGTTTAGGATTTAGGGTTTAGGGTTTAGGGTTTAGGGTTTAGGGTTTAGGGCTCCTGGACCCTTGAAGTGAGATCCCAAACCCTAGCCCCCAAAGCCGAAACCCTCCCCCAGAAGGCCCAAGACCCCTTTTGGAGCCTTAGGGTAGGGTTTAGGATTTAGGGTGTTGAGGGCGTTACAGGGTTTAGGGTTGGGGGTTTACGGCGAGGGTGTTTAGGGTTTACAGGTTCAGGGGGGAGTTCCTGTTTCGACACGCTTGGGTTGAATTCAGGAGCGAATAATAATTAGACGTGGGTTGTTAAGTTCTACAGATTCTGAAGCAAACAAGGTTAAATCCTGAACTCAAGTTCCTCCTTTTGCTGCGCTCTGTACACTCTCTTACTCCCCCAAGCCACAGAAATCCAAGGCTACACTTTCCGATTCCTACTAAACTATACAGGGAACTCCAGAAAGTTGGAATATGGTTTCAGGGTAGGATACCTTATAATTTACCATAAAGGGCTTAGGATAATCATATTCCAACTTTCTGGCTTTTACTATAAGAACCCAACAAGTTCACAGGTTGGGGATTGGGGATCTCAGCTCTACGCCACCCCTAAAGTTTTTCGCTCGCTTCGATTCGGCCATGAGCCCTATAAGACCCGAAGCCTCAGCTCAGAAGTCTCTCTTCATGTTTTCTTTTTTGCTTGTTCTTGGTTGTTCTTGTTTTTTTGCTTTCGTTTTCTTTTTCTTGTTTTTACGCCCTACCTGGACTCTGCAAAACCTTCCTATGACTTCCGTATATAGATCCTGAAAAAGGTAGGCTCCTTAGGGTCCAGGTGAACCATAAGCCCTGTCCTGCAGTTTCGACTTCTTGCGACGCTGGAGCCCTAAGTTTAAGTTCTTTCGTGTTTAAGAAGAACCCAGACTTCAGAACCCCCAAAAACTGGCAAGGGCTGTAGTCCATTGCTCACACTTTCTGGTTCCGCGTGAGTTTGATGGAACTGTGGACACAGAACGCCGCTCATACTTGCAGTTTAGGGTTGGCCCGTCTTGGGGCTATCCGAACTGTAATTCCCCCTGCCTGTTACAAACTCAGTCTGAACAAAAAATCCAAAACGCAACGCGAACCGCCTTATCAACCCAAAACGCTAAATGACACATTCGGGATCCCCGCGCAGTGTTGGAGGCATTCGTCGCCTGATCGCTGCTAAAGAGGCCGCACTCCATTTGACTTCGGAGAATTCGGGCCAATATCGGGGCCTTAGTACTTAGAATAGGGCTCCTTTAAAGGGCTGCTTGAAGGGATCTATATGGGATTTAAGTTGTCGGAGTTTAGGGTTTGGGGGGTCTCTTTAACAGCTCATTTAGTGTTTGCGTGTGCTTTTGGAAGAGCAATGTAGGGACGATGCGGGGATGTACTAGGACTTTGGAGCGTAGGTTTGGGCATTCTTGAATTGGGTTCAGGGTCTACCTGTGACCCCAAAACAGCCTTGGCAATTATCGAGGCCCCTATACTCTCTACCCAGGGGCTTAAGCAAGAAAAACCCACAATACTAATAATAACAGCAATAGTAATGGTAATAATACTGATACGAACAAGAACAATGTAATGTAGGAACCTGATTAAGAAGCCTTGGGCCTTTATTAGGGTGCCTTGCGTAATATTACATCAATCCTGCTATTTTAGGGGTTATAGGCCCAGGGTTTCTTAATCAGGTTCCAACATTAGGGATATCCCTTGAAACCCTAAACCCTTATAGGATTAAGAATTAGGGAAGGGGGGGTTAGGGTTTGGGATTGGAGATTGGGGATTAGGGTTTAGATTTTGAGGAGTAGGACCTAGGGTTTAGGGGCATGCCTGCGCTGTGACGGAGAAGGCCAGGAAAGCGCAGAAGGCGCAAGAGAGGGTCAGCAGCCACATGAAGAAGCCTCGGCGCAGGGGCGCAGGGAGAAGTTGTCCCTCAACCCTAAACCCTGAACCCGAAGTCCTACTCCCTAAACCAAACTCTAAACTCTAATCCCTAATCCTCAACCCGGCAAAGAACTTTAACTTCAACAGTGGTTTTTGAGCTAGTTGAGGTCCTGTTACTGTCGGTAGCGGGGCTAGGGTTTAGGGTTACTTGCCTTGTTTGGGATTTGGGGTGTAGGGCTCAGGGTTTAGCTGTATACTGTATACTAACTTACCAGAATTCAGAGTAAGTTACAGGAGCGGCTTGGTAATGCTATAGCCCTGACAGCTGTGAACGGGCCAAGTTACTGTACCACAGGGCCTGAACAATCTGCGAGGGGATTCCTTAAGGCTCCCCGTTGTGATTCTAGTATGCCATACCCCTTGAACCCTGTCCTGCTCATGGAGGGCCCAACCCGACAAAACCCTTCTTAAACACTAACCTTCTCCTACTTATCCTTGAACCCCTAATTCCCTTAACCCTAAGCCCTAAACCCAAAACCCGCCCAAGGCCCAAGGCCCACTTTCATGACATAGTGAAGCCTCCAAAAAAGGACGTGTATCCATCACATCAGAGACATCTTCCAATCTTGGCCAGTAGCCTGGCAGCCTTGCAGCCACAAAATGTATGTCATATGCAACCCAGAGGGTCCATACATACTACCATTATGGAATTAGGTCTCAAAAGACCATGCCCATTATGGTGTTTTGGGACCTGATTCCATGATAGTACTGTATATGGACCCTCTTGGTAAGTTCTTCACACTTCCTACTCAATCCTCCGACTCGCCACTTCTGTTGCCGTGCACGTTACCAAAACACGTGCCCAGAGAGCCCAATACCCTTTAATTAAGGAGTATATCTTAAATTATAAGGGGATTCATATCATGATTTAAGCCATATTCCTTATTTAAGGGGTATTGGGCTCTCTGGGTGAAGGAAAGCTGGCTTTTTCAACGAATATGATTCGGCTCCTCGGCCTCACCATCTTGCATCGGCCGCTCCGCCAAACGACGGAATGGGGCTGCAAGGGTTTAGGGTTTAGGGTGCACCATCAACGAGCATGAACTGGCTGCGTGCTTCAAGACGACCTACGCCGCGCCGCCTTCAAGGAGATGGCGGGGCGGTGGCGGTTTGTACACCACCACCTGCGTAAATCCTCGCAAGTGACGCTGCTGTCGGAAACTCAGCATCGCATCGTAGCCGAGCTGCCAAGAGACCGATCGGTCGGCCTTGTCCGGGGTTTGCCTTGGGTACGGCCCCCATACAGTAACAGTCTATAATAGGGCTACTATTAAGGGCCTTATACATCTATATTATGAATATTATCCAACTGTTACTGAGTGGGGGCCGTACCCAAGGTTTGCCCCACGACTGTTTGCAGAGCATGTTCGCTCCATACGACACTGACCATGGTCTGGATTTGCACACACAGCAATGCAGATCTTTTGCTGGGGAGAATAGCGGATGCGTCCGTATGCGCCAAATTGCAGTTCCTCTGTGGCAAAACTTTGCCTTCTCCGAACACCTTCAGCTCTGGCAGCAGGGCCTCGTGCAGGAGCAACAGCTGCAGCAGCAGCTACGGTTAGGCTTTGTCTGAAGCAGGGCTATAGCTGACCCCCCTTACATGCTTGCAGCTCAGCATGGACTGTCAGGTATGTCCTTAAGGCGATTGAACCGGAAGAGCACGGAGAAAACAGCCGAAGACTGTACTTTAAGCCATGTAAGCACGTTCCTGATGTATGTATCCTCTCGTATCCGTAGTATTTCATGATCTTTCCTCAAAAAGTCCGTCGAAAAATGTGGGAAAATCTTCCCCAAAGCCCTAAACCCTAAACCCCAAGCCCTAGTCCAATTATGACGGCCCCTTCGTATCCGTCGGATTCCCTGCTGGTCGGCCCATTGCCGCACAGGTTCAGGGATAGTTTGAGCAAGGCGATAGCGTGTAGGGCTCAGGGCTTAGGGTTTAGGGCTCAGGGCTCAGGGTTTAGGGTTTAGGGTTTAGGGTTTAATAGCGCAACTATAATTCAATTTGTGACATGACCTCGGAGCACCCATGAACCAGGCTAGCAAGAAACGTTCCTTCGCAGGAGCACACGACCTAGGACTATGCTATTCTAGGATACCCAGTAACCTAAGAATAAAAGGGCCTCTCTTTTTGGTATTGGGTAACTTTATAAGGAACCTAGGACTACAAAAAGGGAACAAGGGTACTACTGGGGATCCTAGTTTGGGTTTTCAACGCAAGACGGAGAAGCATTAAACATAAAGAAGTATTTCACAAGCCGTAAGGGCCATTTTAGGAGACGAGCGGCCGTCGTTGGCGTTGGGGTCAGCCACCTTCACATGCTTTCGGATCGCTTCGGGGTATCGGGCAGAAACCCCAAACCCTAAACTCTAAACCCTAAACCCTGAACTCCCAGCCCTAAACCCTGAACTCTACAACCGAAAGCCTACAACCCTAAACCCTGAAACCATCAAGCTGTGAGCCTGAAAGCCTGAACTCAAAAGCCCCAAGGCTTACAACCCAAAACCCTGAAACCCTAAACCCCCCCAAAGCCCGCTTCTTTAAGGCTGCTTTCATGGTTCTTTCAAGAGTTTGAGAATGAGAGTCTTTGTTTTGCGATGTAGGGTTTAGATTGATAGTGAAAGTCTGGCGCCTAAGGTTGACTTGTAGGGGAGTTTCCAAAAATTCGGGGTACTTTAATTTGGGGTCTTTATTATAAGGATCCTACTATTTAGGGTGCCATATTAGGGTCCCCCCTATTTTCGGAAACTCCCATAGAGGGCTTTATAACTAGAAGAAGGTTTTGGGGTATCTTATTGGATATTTACTCGTAGAAATATCTATAACAAAGAACGCTGGGAGTAGGATTGCGAATTTTATTCAGGCTTCGCGAATGTCTCAGGGTACTTTATGGATTGCCGTTTAGGGTCGTAGGGTTTGGGGACGTAGGCTTTGGGGTTCAGAGTTTCGGCGCTTTAGGGTCTAATATAAGGGCCAGGGTCATTACCTGCGCCATTTCGTGGGTTCCTTATTATAATTGTAGTATATTGGGCCCCAGACCGTGTTTTAATTATTAAGTTAAGGCCCCTATACTATACTAAACTCCGACGATACCCCCTTATAGTACCCCTTATAGACCCCTTTAAAAGGAACCTTTAAGGGAGCCCTACTCTAGTTATTGAGGCCCCTGCATTAGGGTGGTTCAGGGCTCCAAGTGACGAAACCCTAAACCTCAACGCCCTTCAATGTCTTCTAGGTTGGCCCTTTAAAGCCTCTGAAAAATATTCGTAAATAGGGTCCTATTGAGCCCAAGAAGGGAAAGTGTAAAATGTCCCAAAGCCTACCTAGTCTTTAAAGCCCTCAAACCCTGTAGCAGAAGCCAGAAAGTTGGAACATCAACATCCTCATGCCCTTATGTAAGTTAAAGTATAGAGGATCCCAGCAGTGATCATCCTAAATCCATGTTCCTGCTTTCTGGGATTCACGATAAAACCTCCATAACCTAAGATCCTAACCCTTGGACCCATATAGAACAACAAGCCCTTAACGGAAGCTGAAGCCCTCAAACCGTAAAACCTCCAAACACTAAACAAACACAAAAATCCTTAACTAAAATCCTAAACCCAATACGTCCCACACAAGACCCTTAAACGAGCCCTCAACGCAAGCTGAAACCCCAACGAAGCCCTACGCCTTCGCGTTGATCCAGCTGCCGATGATCAAGGTCTGGGAGATTTCCATGATCTTGCCTTGGTGCTCAAGGTGGGAGTTAGGATTAGGGGGACCCTTCGGGATATAGACCCTCTCAATATGGCCCCTTTTAAGAGAGCCAGAAGTAGGGTTCAGAAGGGGTACCCTTTAAGGGGTCCCCCTAATGATACTACCCACAAGGAACCCCTTAAAGGAACCCACACCCTGGACCCTAAACCCTTAAAGGAACCCTTAAAGGAACCCAGAAAGGAACCTTGCCTTCGTGCTCCAGATTTCCAGAAAAGCCTTAGGGGTTTGGGGGGTTTAGGGGCTTAGGGGTTTAGGGGTTTAGGGGTTTAGGAGTTTAGGGGTTTAGGGGTTCAGTGGTTCAGGGGTTTAGGGGTTGAGGGTGCTCCAGATATCCAGAAAAACTTCAACATAGGGGCCTTAATAATTAGAATAGGGTCTGGGGGCCAATTATACTCTGATTATAATAAGGAACCCCCGAAATAGGATTAGGCAATTATTTAAGCCCCCATACTAGGGTGTTCTGATTCGTTTGGGGGTTCCTTTAAGGGATGTAAATGGGTAACATAAGGGGATTTCGGTGTAGGGTTTGTTGTTTAGAAGGATTTAGGGTTTGGGGTTTACCTAGTAGTAGGAGTATGCTTGAACTCTAATCTTATCTGCAGCTCCAAACCCTACACTTCAGTCTCTTGCATGTTTGAGATATGTAACAAACCCCAAAACGCTAGCCTTAAACCCTAACCCCGAAACCCTAAACCCTAAACCCTACAGATCCATTATAGAACCCTTACATATCCTTTAATGGGACGCTTTTGCACCCTTTACTGGGACCCTTATATATCCTGTAATGGAACCCCTAAACCCTAAACCCCAAACCCTAAACCCCTAAACCCTAAACCCTAAAGCCACAAACCCTAAACCCCTATAGATCTCTAAACCCCGAAATGCATCCTGCGCACTGTGGGGATCGCTGTCTCGGAAGCTGAAGGATTGCCCTTAAGACTTAGTAACTAGGGCTCCTTAAAGGGATCTATGGGGGTTCCTTAAAGGGATCTTAGGGTTTTGGGTTTAGAGATTACTTCAAGGATCATGCGACTTCGTAGCTACCCTAAGGCTCCAAACAAAGTCTTGGGCCTTCTGGGCGAGGGTTTCGGCTTTGGGGGCCAGGGTTTTCGACCTCACTCCAAGGGTCCAGGAGCCTTAGGGTAAGACACAAACCAAAAACTAAACCCCCAACTGAAGCCGAAAAGACCCACCTTTTGAAGGAACTGCATATAGAAAACATGATAAAGAACCATGAATAGGTAGGTCTTTTCAGCTGCAGGTAAGCCCTCAAACCAAGAGCTAAACCCTAAACCCTGAACCCTACCCCTCGACCTAACAAAACCTACAGTTTTGTAGGGTTCCTAGAAATTTCCGATTAGGGTTCACAATAAGAACCTACGAAAATCTAGGGTTTGGTAGTTTTAGGTAAACCCTGAACCCTAAACCGTGAACCCTGAACGGTAGGTCCTGAACCCGAACCCTGAACCTCAGACCCTAAACCCTGAAACCCCCATATCTCCCCGGAAGCTTGCTGCCGTGAATGCTAGGTTTGGGGTTTTGGGTCTAAAAGAGGGGCAGGGGACTTAGTAAGTAGGATATAAGTAGAGTTATAAGTAGCCTACATGGAGTTACCCCAATTATAACTCTACTTATAAACGACTTACTAAGTCCCCGGCCCCTCCAAGTAGGGGCTCTTGGCTTGTACAGGCTGAAACTTGTCAAGACGTTATATACTTGGCTGCCTTCTGAACCCCTCCTAAAAGTTAAACTTTTAGCCCCCTTATTATGGTTCATATAGAAACCCAAAAAGTTAAAGTCCTAAGAGCCAACCAGAAGAACGCCAAGTATAGAGGGAACAGTCCAAAGTCCCTAACACTCCGACATCTTAAACCCTAAAGCCCAAAGCCTACCACAAAGCTGAAACCCAAAGCGCCAAAGCCTTGAAATCCTGCGCCCTTTGCACCGCCCAGCATAACGGCCAAAACAATTGGAGTAGGGTTTTGGGGTGCATCACCCTACTACTATAACAATAGGAACTCCAGCGAATGATACATTCGCTGACCCATACCACAGTCAACAATGGTTTAAACAAAAGCTCTGAGAAACGGAATCCAGAAAACCCCTGCGAAACCCGACACACCTCCATGTCTCGTGTACAGGGGCTTGGTAATTGCAATAGGGCTTTGGGGTACATTCATGCATAGTTCAACAGGGGTCATAAGGGAATACTACTACCAACAGCTTCGAACAGCTACAGTAAACATCCAGTGCAAACAAAAAAAAGCCCAGCCCACCTCACTAAACCCTCAACCCTAAATCCCTTATGGAACTCTCAAGGGAACCTTTGAAAGGAACCCTATAGAGTCCACTCTGGTAACAACTAAACCACAGTCCGCAAAGTTAGGAAACATGGTTGAAACTTGTGCAAGCCTGCAAGACCCTGAAGAAAAACACCCCTGACCCTCGGTAAAACACTCTTGAACCACCATGGGATTTCCCACAAAACCCTCAGACAACCCCAAACCTTTTGAAACCTCCCAACACCCTAAACCCGGAGCCCTAGACCCTAAACCCTAAACCATATCCACTCGCTGCCCGGCGGCTGCCGAAGGTGAGGAAGAAGAACAGCCCGACCTTCACGAATCCAGCACGGCCTCGGACACTCCAAGTAGGGACCCCAAAAGGGATATCCCTACCTTATTGAGTTTCATTATAAGGGGGGTTTATATGGGATATCCCTATCCTTATGTTTGCTTATGTGCTTTTTGGGGGGCCCCTTTGAGGGACTCCTTTACAGTAAACCCTATACCCTATACATCCCTTATAGAACCCCAAGCCCCCTAAACCATATACAGATGCCCTATAAAACCCTAAACTTACCTTTGGTAGGGAATGGAGGAATGGGGTACAACTATAATTACTATTACTGCCGTTCTTCCATTCCCTACTAACCAAATGTAAGACTCAAGGGACTCCTTTACAGGGATGAGGGCCTTAGGATTTAGGGTCTAGGGTTTCGGGATTTAGGGTTTAGGGCTTGGGATTGAGTAACCAGGGCTACAAATACGGTAACGGTACTTATAAGTATTCAAGCAGCAACTATAGGGTACGTGTAACCTTACTTGCTAAGTCCCACGAGCCTCCAAGTAGGGCTCTTGGAAGGTCTCGGCTGGTCCGCTATTAAACGCTATTCGCCTCAGAGCATACGTAATGAATCCGTAGATCAAACGCTCCGGGGCCCAACAAGGGCCCATATGAAATATCCCAAAGGCCTACCTAAAGGGTGGCTTGCATAACGGATTGAACCTTGCTTCTGCAACATCTTTTGAGGCATACTTGGAGGGTCATGGGACTTAGTGAATACGTTTATAAGTAAGGCAATTATACTTAAAGCAAATAGTTTTAATTTATACTATACTGAATGTAGGCCCCTGGCAAAAACTCTGACTTTAGCTGTTACTTAGGGGTTACAGTAACCCGAAATCAGAAATGTGTCGAAGTACCCCTGAGTATAGCCCGTGATCCTTCCAGTCGACCCTAAACCCCCAAACCCAAAACCTAAGTAGGGCTTACTGTGGGGTTTGGGAGTTTAGGCCTTGGCCCTTTGAAGACCCTCTCAAGATTCTTTGAGCTTTGTAGCTAGGATACCCAATAACCTAAGAACAAAAAGGCCTCTCTTTTTGGTATTGGGTAACTTTATAAGGAACCTAGGACTACAAAAAAGGGATAAGGGTACTACTGGGGATCCTAGAGATTCTTTTGAGCTTTGTAGGCTTTAGGGTGTCGGATCTTGGTCTGGAATTGCTGGGTGCTCTCCTGCCCTTCGAGTAGTATAGGGGCCTTCATAGGGTTCCCTTTAAAGGGTTCGCGTTAAAGGGCTCGATAAGGGATCCAAAAAGGATAATCTGAATAGGGTTTTGGTTTACATTATACTAGAATTATAATAAGGAAACCCCCAAATAGCATTGGTAACTTTATAGGCCCCTATAGTAGACTTTCTATATCGGTTTTTTGAAGGGGCCGTACAAGTTTGGGGACCTACAGAGGGACTCTAATTCAGAGAACTACCCATATGGCTCTAGATGCTTTGGAAATTGCCAGCAGGTGGTACACCGTCAAATCTACAGCCTAAGCCAGAAACCTTAAACCCAAACCGTAAATGTCTGGCTTCTTGTCTAGGATACCCAGTAACCTAAGAATAAAAAGGCCTCTCTTTTTGGTATTGGGTAACTTTACAAGGAACCTAGGACTACAAAAAGGGAATAAGGGTACTACTGGGCATCCTAGTCTACACCCTAAGCCAGAAACCGTAAGCCCAAACCGTAAATGTCTGGCTTCTTCTTGGAGAAAAGTAGCTTATCCACGTGTGGATGGTTTGCCAGGAGACTTGTTCGTGCTCTTCCTGCCAGGGGATGCAGTTGATCCTCTGATTCGGGAATATTCCTGAAATTGTATAGCTTAGAAGCTGCCCCCACCCTGAATAGTGACCATAAGGATTATATTAGGGCCCTATTATATTCCTATTATGTTCCTATTACACCACTATTACAGGGTGGGGGCCCCTCCTAATGTATAGCCGTCGATTCAGGAATACTCCCTAACTGGTATCTTACTATGAACTCAGGAAGGACCATAAGGCAAAGTGCAACGCGGGCACGATACTTTGAGAGCCTCAAATCTTGGGGTCTTAGACTTAGAGTTTACGTTCTGGGGCGTTGGGCCCAGCAATGCTAAAGTAAAAGCCAGAAAGTTGGAATATGATTATCCTAAACCCTTTATGGTCAATTATAAGGTATCCTACCCTGAAACCATATTCCAACTTTCTGGAGTTCCCTTTAAGTTGACAGTGGGGGCTAACAAGATCTTCTCGCCATGGCCCGAGACGTTGAGGGTGCCTTGCCTTACCTTGGGCGTCTCGACTGCAAGCGGCGCCCTTTCTTTCAACCATGACACCCACACGATTCGGAACAACGAGACCTCAAAACAAACGAGCAAACAAACACAAACACACACCCTAAACCCTAAACCCCAAACCCTGAACCCCTAAACCCTAAACCCTAAGCCCTAAACCTTCTAAACCCCAAACCCAGCAAAGCATTAAGAGGCGGCGCCACAGGAGTGCCCGGGTCTGCAGCAACATGGCTTCGCTCACGTCTGTCCCCAAAAACCCATACCTGGACCCCCCAAATACGTAGAATCACAGCCTTCTATAGGTATTGGGCTATTGTTTTACCTACTTTTGGGGGGTTTAGGGTACTACAGGATCTGGGGGGGGGTGGGGTTGAAGGTTTGGGGATGCGGGTTTAGGGCTTAGGGCTTTAAGTTAAGTTGTGCATGGACAGTTGCACCAATAAGACTCCACATAGGGTACCAGTAATGGTTATGGCACCCAGAGCCCCTTCTGAAAGCTAGCTGCTTGCAGTTATGACCGTGAGGACACCCAATGAAGGTCGGTCCTAAGCTCCTAGGTAAGTCGCAAGCAGAAGCCTGACTTCACACAACCAAAGGGCACCATGAATAGCCGCATAGCCTCCAATACCCGCTAAATCCAGAGCACTTGACCCCTCATTTTCGAAGGAACCCTAAATAACCAAATCTAATTTAGGGTCCCTTGGGGTCCTGTCATAAGGGTGCCGTTTTTTATTGGAGACCCAAAAAGAGGACTCTAATTTAGAAAACTACCCATATGGGCAGTTCTCTGAATTTGGGTCCCCTTTTAGGTCCCCAAACTAGTACGGCACCCTCATAAATAGGACTCCGAAAAGGACCCCAATTTAGAAAGCCACCATGCAGATCCGTTGTAGAACCCGCTAGTTTGCATTACAGACAAACTGTGGGAACCCCACTTAAGCAAAAATCACTTTGTGAAAACCCCTAAACCCCATAACGCTTGAAACCATAAAGCTCTGCAGCCTGAAAAACCCTAAGACCCCATAAAGCCAAAATCTTAATCCCTAAGCGCTTAAAACCTGCATCCTTAAACCTCTAAGCCTCTAAACCTCTAATTAAACCCTAAACCTCTAAACCCTAAACCTGTAAACCTCTAAACCTCTAAACCTCTAAACCCTAAACCCTTCAAGTAACTTAAGCACAAATCCTCGTCGCGGAGGTTGACCTTGTCATCCCCGCCCTTACCAGGAAAAAGGTCGGATTTTTGGGCGGAGAGGGGGGTTCAGGGTTTGGGGTCAAGAGTTTGGGGTTTAGGGATTTAGGGTTTTCGGCTAACAACTTAAGGCTTAGGGTTTACAGGGTTTAGCATTTGGGGTTTGGGCCTGGGTTACGTTTATATGGTGGGTCTATGAATGAAAAGAAGGTTTTGGGGTCATACTATTACTACAGTATATCTATATAAGGTCTTTAACGGGAAACCAGCACTAATTAAGTCACTACCCGGTAATTACTGAGTTTAGGGCTTATTCACTGACTCAAGCTTGCCGCAGGCTAGGACACCCTCCCCGCTTCCAGTGAGCGATGCAAACTTATGGCGAATCCGGGATTTGCAAAGCATGAGGCTTATAGTTGAACAGATCCACAGCACTACGTCGGGGGTGATTCTGTCTGGTTCTTAGTAGGGTATGGCGGAATGGGTTATGGAGACTACTATTGGGGATTGTATAGCGACTACTAACTATAGGGATCCATTCCCCCATTCCCTACTAAGCACCAGACTACTCTAAATCCTAAACCCTACTTAAAGGATCATGGGACTTAGGTCTCAGCGGCAGGCCATCCACGGACCCTGTGTGACGCACATCACGGGGACTACTACTGGCAGGAGCGGTCGCTCACCCTAAACCCTGAACCCTAGTAAACTAAACCCTAAACTTTTAAACCCTCTGAACCCTAAACCTTACACCCCTAAACCATGAACCCTAAACCCTAAACCCCAAACCCAAAACCCCAACCCCTACACCCTAAACCCCCATGACCCAAGTGAAGAATGACCTAACCTCGCCTGTCTTTGCACTCATGCTGCGACCCCGGATCCTTGAACCCCGAAAACACAACGCCGGCACCCTTTATAAAACCCAACATACAACCTTTTAAGAAACTTTTGGGTAGTTGTCAAAATTAGGGTCCCCTGTTGGGCACCCTAAATATTAGGTGCCGTATTATAATAGGGACCCAAAAAGGGACCATAATTTTGACAACCACCCACATACAATCCTTTGAGGAACATTCGATAAAGCATCATAGAATCCTTCAGGCAACCCCGAGAGGAGCCCCTGGGAATCCCACCCAAGAAGCACTGAACCCTAAACCCAACGCCCATGCTCGGCTTAGGGTTTAGGGTTCAGGGTTCAGGGTTTAGGGTTTAGGGTTTAGGGTTTAGGGGCTCTTGCATCTGCCACAACTACGGATCGTCGTGTTCGTGGATAACAATGCGCAAAGGTCCTCCGCTGGCCCGCTTGGCCTCCTTCTGCATGCGCTCAAAACAGCCTTCGGGAAGTCTCATAAACATAGAGGCAACCTCTAAACAGACAATCGACCACATCAAGGCGAATGAGCAATATCTTGCCACAGCAGTGGACAAGAAATCGCCCGTGCCGAGAGTGACGTATAACTTTGCCAAAGTAAGCAAGCAAGTCAGGACACCAAGATTTTGATATCCCCTTGCCATCGAAAAGGCAACGCAGTCCAACATATTCTGCACGCTGACCCGCTTTCACAAACTTCAACTTTGTCTCGAGTCCTAAGGCAGTGCATCTGCCGATTATGTCGGCTTCTTCTGCCATGATGAGTCGAGACAATCAACCAAGGAAGTCATCACCTTCGGTGCGAGTAGTCATGTGAAATTCTGCGCCAGTCCACGAAATGAAGGTAAACCTCTCCATAACGCCTAGACCCTAAACTCTAAACCCCAGCCCTGAACCCAAAACCCTAGACCCTAAGCCCTACGACCCTAAACCCGAAACCCGAGACCCCAAACCCTAAACCCCAAACCTTAGACCCCACAACCTATGACCCTGAACCCCTATGGATCCCTTAAACCTTTCCCTTGGGCCCGCATACCCAAACAAGAAAAAACGGCGGCGGCAACACTAAACCCTAAGAAAGAAACCCTATGGCCGGAACCTTCAGAAAGAAAACCTTTTAAAGGAGCCCCTCAAGGATCCCTTTAAAGGAACCCGTAAGGATCCCTTCAAAGGAGCCCCTCAAGGATCCCTTTAAAGAAACCCAAAGAAAGAAACCCTAAACCCTAAAACCTTAGACCCTAACACCCTGAACCCCCACGGATCCCTTAAAAGAACCCTTAAAGGAACCTCGAAAACCCTAAGAAAGAAACCTTATAGACCCTAAACCCTAAACTCCCTAAACCCTATAGAACCCTTAAAGGACCCCTTTAAAAGCATAATGGTAGTATCTATGGACACTCTGGGCTTATATAACAGATCCCATTATAGGAACCCTTATAGATCCCTTTGAAAGGAACCCGAAACCCTAAGAAACTAGGATACCCAGTAACCTAAGAACAAAAAGGCCTCTCTTTTTGGTATTGGGTAACTTTATAAGGAACCTAGGACTACAAAAAGGGAATAAGGGTACTACTGGGCATCCTAGTATAGGAACCCTTATAGATCCCTTGTAAAGGAACCTGAAACCCTAAGAAAGAAACCCTAAACCCTAAAACCTTAGACCCTAACACCCTGAACCCCCACAGATCCCTTAAAAGAACCCTTAAAGGAACCTCGAAAACCCTAAGAAAGAAACCTTATAGACCCTAAACCCTAAACTCCCTAAACCCTATAGAACCCTTAAAGGAACCCTTTAAGTGCATAATGGTAGTATCTATGGACCCTCTGGGCTTATATAACAGATCCCATTATAGGAACCCTTACAAATCCCTTTTAAAAAGGAACCCGAAACCTTGGCTGCCTTCTGAACCCCTCCTAAAAGTTAAACTTTTAGCCCCCTTATTATGGTTCATATAGAAACCCAAAAAGTTAAAGTCCTAAGAGCCAACCAGAAGAACGCCAAGAAACCCTAAGAAAGAAATCGAATCGTTCTTTCGCCTTGGCGGCCGAGGCTGGAGAGTCGGTCTTCGGCTCCTTTCCGGTGGCGCCCTGGCCTGTCTCCTCCTGGCGCTTTCCGGATTTCTACTTGAAGGATCCTGGGACTTAGTAAGGGTTCCTTAAAGGGCTCCTTAAAGGGATCTATAGGGTTTCTATCAGGGGATCTATAGGATTAGGGTTTAGGGTCTACTTGGAGGATCATGGGACTTAGTAAGTAAGGCTATAAGTACCGTAATTGGGGTTATAAGTATAGTTACCCTCATTATAACCCTGGTTACTATGTCCCATGATCCTGCAAGCAGGGTTCCTTGAGGGTTCCTTTAAAGGGATCCATAAGGGCTCGAAAAGGCATCTATAAGGGATCTAGAGGGTTTAGGGTTATAGGGATCCTTAATGAAGATCCTTAAAGAGCTCCTCAACGGGATGTTAATGTTATAGGGTTTCAGGTTTAGGGTTTCGGGCTTTTTTGGTTTAGGGTTTAGGGTGTTGGGCTTTTTTGGTTTAGGGTTAAGGGGTTTAGGGCTTTTTGGTTTAGGGTTTAGGGTTATAAGTTATAGGTTTAGGTCTTTAGGGTTTGCAGCTTAGGGGGGAAGCTCGGCGGGCTTTAGAAAGGTTCGACAAAGGCTCCAGAAGGAGGCGGGGCTTTGGGGTTTAATGTGTTGGAGTTGTGGGGCTTCGGAGTCTACGGGTTCAAACCCCAACCCCTAAACCCTAAACCCTAAACCCCTAAACCCCTAACCCCTAAACCCTAAACCCCTAAACCCTAAACCCTAAACCCTAAACCCTAAACCCCTAAACCCCTAAACCCTGAACCCTAAACCCTAAACCCCTAAACCCCTAAACCCCTAAACCCTAAACCCTAAACCCTTAACCCCTAAACCTCAAACCCCAACCGCTAAACCCTAAAGGGTGGGAGACTTTAGGGCTTGGGTGCCTCAACGGGTCCCTTTCAGGGACCAAAATGCGTGCTGTAAGAATTCTTTGCAGAGAGTTTTGGACTGCAATCTTTTTAGGGTTTGGGGTTTTAAGGTGGTAGGAGTTGACATGTCTCTACTTCTGGCCGAATTATGTTCCAAATCACCCTAAACCCACCCATCCTTTCGACCCATCCGGGGCTTGAGGTTCAGAGTTCGAGTTTGGAGGTGTTGAAAGCTTGAACGGGGCAGGGCCTCTGTTCAACCCGGAGAAAACTTACGCTACATATATGTGTGGTTGTCAAAATTATGGCCCCTTTTTGGGGTACCCTTAATATTAGGCGCCGCACTATATTAGGGACCCAAAAAGGGACCCGAATATTGACAACCGCCCATATGATGAAACCCAAAAACGCAAACTAGATACCCAGTAAGCCCCGTAATGATCGAAAAGACTGTCGAGCCCCCCTTTACCAAGAGGGTCCATATACTCTACTATTGTGGAATCAGGTCCCAAAAACAATAATGGATGGTCTTTTGGGAACTAATTATAGTGGTCGTGAATATGGACCCTCTGGGTTACAGATCCTAAGGCCCCACAAAACCCCTAAATCCTACGCAGCCCCAGTCAAACCCAAGCGCGCAAGGGCCATGGGGGGGGATCTTGGTGGGCTTCTTTAAAGGGATCTCTTAGGCTTGGGGTTTAGGGCTCCTTTAAAAGGATCCACGGGGTCCTTGGGGTTGCGGGACGTTTAAGACTTCGAGGGTTTAAGGTTGGGACTGAGAAAATCCTCCGGGTGGTTGAATAGTTTGATCTGTTCTCTTGGGTTTTAGATGATCGAGAATAAAAAAGCAAGCAATTCCTAAGGAGACTATAGTAACCTACTATTTTGTAGGGTTTGGGGGTCACGTAGGACGTATGGGATCCTTGGGCTGGTTGCGGTCTCGAAATCAGTCATCAAACCGCTGGCGCAGCGTACTCCCTCCTTTAAAGGGACAAGTGATATCAAGAGCGCAGAGAGCGCGTCGCAAAGAGCTGCGTTCTCGCCATCGATGTTGCAGATCTCCAGGTCGAAACCCGTGTCCTGAGCCGCCTTGCTCATGGCTTCGGTAACCTCTTGGAAGAGAACTGTAACGCACATCGTCGAAAGTACGGACATCGCGCTCTCTACGGAAGAAGTTGCTCTGCAGGACACTAGGTAGGCGTAGTTGATGAGTAGCTCTCTGAGATCTTTCGCCTGCGCTGCGGTCCCTTTCACCGTAAGAACCGCCCTTTGAAAGGCTCGATCCTCATGCGGATGCACAAACCTCCGTAGTCAAAGCGCATCATGCGCATGAAGTAATGCACCATGTCCTCGCAAAGAGATGATTGCTGTAAACGTGCACGAACTTTGTCGAACACTGCAAGCCAAGGCGACAACAAGCCTTCTGGAGCAACGGCTCACGATGAGCACTCATGAAGCTCCATGCCGGTCTGACCGACCTCCAAACAAATCGGGCCAGAAATGCGGACCGCGGCGAGGTCTTCCACTATTTCATGCCTCAACTTATGCTTGCTGGATTTGCGGACTGCAACTCCAACCCTAAACCCTAAACCCTAGACCCCAAATCCTAAAATTTCTAAGAATGATACAAACCCCAACAGCCCTAAAGCCCGAAAACCCGGAAAGTCCCAAGCCCCTAAATCCCTAAACCCCGCACCCCCAAAACCCAAACCCTCAAAGTCCAAAACCGTCAACCCCGAATCCCAAAATCCACAAAAACATCCAAAAACTCGAAAATCCTCTAGAGCCCTCTAAGCACCACAAACCCTAGAAACCCCAAAACACACAAAAACCGCCCCAACAAAGCATCAAAACCCTCGAGGCTCTGAAACCCTGCAAACACAAACCGACGCTTCTAATAATCATATACTCACCGAAATATCTACATAACTACTATGGGAGTTTCCGAAAATAGGGGTACCTTATTCAGGAGTCCTTATAATAAGGTTCCTACTATTTGGGGTGCAAAATAAAGGTCCCCTATTTTCGGAACCCCCCCGTATCCTAAACCTAAGAACCTAAATTGCAGGGTCCTCCGGAGCCCCCGGATTTCTTGGATGCTTTGGGCCCTCACAGGTAAGCTAAACCCGAAGCACGGACCCTAAACCCTAAACCCTAAACCGGGCCCTTAAAGGAAGCCTGAAGCCTCTTTAAAGGAACCGCAGACCCTACTCCTAGAAAGGAACTTCCTGGGGATCCAAAAACCCTACCGTTTTAAGGGTTAGACCCCTCTCTTATGATTCACTGGGTTCCGCCTTTGGAACGTAAGGCTAAAGCAGCAGGGTCTGGGGTTTCCTATTGTAAAAGCCTATAGTAGACCCTCTGATTAAGGGGTCATAACCTACTCTTTTGTAGGGTTTGGGGATACGGGTTCATCTTCAACAGAGCCCCATAGCAACCCTACGTATAGAAGATCGTTTTAAACAATCACTATAGTATCCGAAAAAGAACCCTAGAGAATCCCCCAAGTCCCTAAAACTCCTAAACAACCCCTAAAACCCTGAAACCCTAAGTCCTAAAGACCTAAAACACCAAAAAACAAGCTGAAACCCTAAAGTCCCGATGCTCCTGGGCCTAAACCCTAAACCCTAAACCCTAAACCATGGGCCGCCCGCGCCAGGCGGCGGCCGGTACCACTGAACGCTACCGCTTCGAGATCTGCTTGCTTTGCCAAGCAGATCGAGTCTCCCATACCTGATTTGGCAATGCTAGCCATGGGGCACCGTATATAATGGAGTTACCCTTAACCCCTAGCGCGCGACCCCGGCGGGCCTCCTGTGAAGGGACCCAAGGGACCCTCCCCGTAAGGACTGGCCCTTCCCGTAAGGACCCTCCCTCCCCGTAAGGGGCTCCGTAAAGGCACAGTCTTCCCGTAAGCCTTTCGTCGTCCTTCTCTGTGAAGGGACCCAGCCCCGTAGGGACCCTCCCCGTATCCCGTAAGGACCGTCCCTCCCCGTAAGGGGCTCCGGGACCCTCCCCATAAGGACTGGCCCTTCCCGTAAGGACCTGTCCCCGTAAGGGGCTCCGGGAAAATCCCGTAAGGACTGGCCCCTCCCGTAAGGATCGTCCCTCTGTGTAAGGGGCTCCGGGAACCCTCCCCGTAACGACTGGCCCTTCCCGCAAGGACCCCTCCTTGTATGGGGCCGGGCCCTTCCGTAAGGACTGGCCCTTCCCGTAAGGACCCTCCCTCCCTGAGGGGCTCCGTAAAGGTCTGTGAAGGGACCCAGCCCCGTAATTCCCCGTAAGAGGCTCCGTAAAGGCACAGTCTTCCCGTAAGCCTCTTCGTCGTCCTTCTCTGTGAACAGTCTTCCCGTAAGCCGCTTCGTCGTCCTTCTCTGTGAAGGGACCCAGCTCGTAAGGGACCCTCCCCGTAAGGACTGGCCCTTCCCGTAAGGACCGTCCTTCCCCGTAAGGACTGGCCCTTCCCGTAAGAAAATGGGCCGGACCCATTTGCCTGCGGCTTTGCCCAGAACAACTCGGCTTGCGGTAGACGGGAGGTACACTTGACCTAGAGGAATACCCGAGTCTCGCCGCTTCTCCAGGTCTACCAGCTCCCAGGGCTTCCGTGTGTACGCTGCAAGTCCAGCGGAGGCTAGCTCGAAGGCGCCCACCCAAGTGGAACGAGAGTACTCATTTGCGGCCAACCCCACGGCTTTCATCTCTCTTCGAATGGCCTTGAGCACGTACTCCCCTGAGAACTTTTTGGGACAGTCATATGCGGCATGGCACAGACACCCGACGCGGAGCATGAGGTTGCGCAGGATTTCCGAGGCTGGGTTCTCTAGCAGCGCCTGCTGGCACCGCTCCGCCATTGCTGTGGCCTGCCCACGCACGTTGGGAGTGGGAACGGACAAGACGTGCTGGATGTACTCTGCGTTGGGTCCATGCGAAGCGAAAACCTCTTGCGCTGTTCTTCCACCAGCTCTTTTTTCGGCTTGGACGCAGTAGCGAGATCCAATGCTCGGACCGCTGCCTCGGTGTGCTCCAGGAGTCTTGGTTCAGAGTTGCGAATACCTCGTCTCCGTCAGAGTCGCCTCCAGCAAGAGCGGTGATGCCCGCTCCCAGGACGGAGCAAACAATGCAGTTGTTCGGCGCTGCCCACTGCTCCCTTGGCCACTCTATCGCCTCCCAAGTTTCCAAGTCGGATGGCAAGACGGCAGGGTTTCTCCACACCGCCACACGTCCGACCACGTTGTGGCCGTTGGCGATGATGTAGCACTGCTTATCCTGACAAGTGACACCGAACGACACAGACGAACTCTCTCTTTGCAAGTTAGCCGAAGACTATGGAAGCAGAAGTAAGTTCTCTGTAACGGAAGATTTTGGACCGAGCCTTCACTTTCTGCCAGATATCCGGCAGCGCTGTCAGGATCCAGGAGCCCCCAGGAAGCTCCAGCTGTGGGTCGTACCGCAACTGCGTCAAGAGGCCATTCAGGGCGCCGCCGCCTCCCACAACCGCTCGCTTCGTGCCACGTGCCAGATCGCAGTGTCCCTGCTCTTCGACCATGGTCGTCAGCATGGCCATGTCTGTTTCAGGGTCGTCTGTGGCACTGCTGTGTTGAACTCTGATGGTGCTTGCCGGCACACGCTGCACCCGTGTCTTTTCCTCATCCTCTGCAGCACGGACGCGACCTTCCTGACGCTGCTGGGTGACTGTCAAGCGTCTCATGGCCGATGCTGGCGGACTTAAGGCCTTGTCCTTCGCGAGACCCCATGCCTCGCCGACACAGTGGTGCACTGTGGCATTGCGCAGTGTCGTCAGCCTCAGTTATGTGCACATGGGCCCTATAATACTCACTCGTGTCAGGTGTTTTGTACTAATTACTCTCACACGCTTCAGCTGCGTGCTGCTCGAGACACAATACCTCGAGGAGAGCCATGGCCACCTCACGCCCAGCTCTGTTGGAGCTGCTCAGCGCCCGCATAGCCAGAGCGGCAGTGACCTGGCAATTGACGTGCGCGGCGCGGCGGGCCTGCTCGGTGTTCTTGGTTATATGCAGTCCCAAGTGGCTCGCAGACGTCTCGGACGGAAAGTGCATGTCCAGCTTCTTGCAACTTCTGCGCAAATGAAACTGCGAGGGTCTGGTGGGGTCGACCATAAGCATGCCTTTCCCTAGAACGTCATGATCCCTGCCAAGTCGAAACATGCCGCGGAACTGCTCTGGTGCGTAGAGAACGTACGTGCCGGGCTCTGGAGGTCCGCAGGTAAGAAGGCCAAGGCGCTGAGCGTCCTCCCATCCAACGTCTGCAGCACCATCCGTCGTTGCCTCATCTTGGTAGAAGTCGTCCTCCACGAGCTTCACCGTCACTCTCGACAAGCTCCTCGGCTTGCTGGGAGAAAGCAACAGTGGCAAGCGACTGTACGCCGTTTGCAGGTCCGGGGCCGCCTGGAGGAGTCGCATAGCCGAAGTAGATGCGCAGAGCGGCTTGCTTGCGTAGTACATTTGCCCCGACTCCTTGCCGGACACCGCTTGCAGCGCGGGGCGTGCTATGGCCGGGACGCCTGTGATCACCAAGGGCCGCAGCAGCCGCGGCTTCCGTGCTGTAGGACCGAAGTTCACAGAGAAGACGGGCACTCCTAGAGACCTGGCCATGTCTGTGTCCTCGAGAAGCTCCGGCATAACGGCGAGCATCTCGACAGGGACGAACATGGGCGGGGGGCTTTTCTCCAGGAGCCGGCGGCGCTTCAGGGCTGGCGTAACTGTGACGGGACCAGAGACCAACGCAGCATCTGCCTCATCTTCGATGTCACTTGGATCGTAGTCCACCTCACTTAAGCAGTCTTCAGGCGGAGCGACCACTGCTCCTGCGCTGTCACCTGATTCCACGACATCCTCGGCAGAGGCGAGGTAAATGCCGAGCTTCTGCAAGTGTGCTGCTCGTTCTGGTACAGGAAGCCTCTGCGAACGACTCATTTTGAGAGGACGGATGTTTACATCTTGTTGACCGTGTTGTCTAGAGTCTAGAAATCATGGATACAGGACATTTACAACACAGCAGAGGGACATGTGTTATGCTGATCAACACAAAGACCCCATGGAGCCTGGCGAAGGGCTTCAAGTCCCCGACCAGATTCCTGGGCAGCTTGGTCGGCAAGCCGTTGAGGTACGAGGTCAAGGACTTGGGGTACAGCTTTGCGACGGCTGCCGTCCACTTCTCCACATGAAAGGCTTCGACCCCGAGCAGGACCGCCGGCGGGTCCGCTCCAGGTGTCGCAAGGCCCTCCCAAAAGGAGTCAAGGAGGACGAGGGTGCTCATGTTGTTGGCCACCCCAGCGCTAGCGCTCCCCCTTCTTTGAGAAATATGACAAGCGGACACAATAGCTTGGGCCGGTATGTGGGTCGACTGCAGAGCCTATTACTAATCTTGCTCGTTCCGACTTGTGAATGAACTCGAAGAATCCCGCGCGCCTGCACGTGGCCCCGGCGAGAGGCCTCGTGGACGTGCTCGACCTGAATAACTTGCTCAGGCTCGCTTGCTCGATTCCAGACTGTCTTTATGCGTTTGCTTGGGCAGGTTTTGCTCTGCTTTCAGAAGTTGGCGCTTATAGTCCTCGCGGGACGCTGAATTACGGGACGGAGGCGGGCAAGGCTTTGTACGGCACTGCTAATTACAGGCCGGAGGCCTTACGAGCTTTTACGGGACGTTGAATTACGGGACGGGGGCGGACAAGCCTCCGTACGAGATTGGAAATTACGGGACGGAGGCGCTTAGGGGACGAGCCCCTTATACAAGATGCACGGCCCGAGTGCGCTTCCTTGCGGCCACTTAATTACGGTACAACGTAATTACGGTACAGCGCGGACTTCCTTACGGGACGGAAGCACTCGGGACGAGCCTCTTTACGGAACTTCTTTTTACGGGACGGAGGTGCTTACGTGACGAGCCTTTACGGGACGGAGGCGCAGTCCCAATAATGGGAGAGTCCACTCGTACGCTTCGTCCTTCTCTCTGAAAAATCTGCTGACGGGACATATTCTTTGCAATTACGAGACGGCCGGAGGCGCTCACGGGACGCGACTCTGTATTACGGGGCGCTTACGGAACGAGCCGCCTCATACGGGACTTTCAATAATTATACGGGATGGACGCGCTTACGGGACGAGCCGGGATGGGGACGGAGGCGCTAGAGGGACGATACGAGCCTCTTTACGGTATTCTTAATTACTGGTACCGGGCGAAGAGGCTTACGGAACGAGCCTAGTGAGAAACTTCGTTATACGGAACTTTTAAGTACGGAACGCACACATGCGGATGCTTGCGAGATAGGACGAGTCTCCTTACGCGATTCTTAATTGCGGGACGGAGGCGCTTACGGAACGCGTCTGGTGCTCAGATAATTGCGCTACGCACTTCTGACTGACCGAAGTGATGCAGCAAACTGAAAATGCTCTAAACCCGCGAGAAAAATTACTTCGGGTGGCTGGGGTGGGATCCGCTGCACTGGAGCGGCCCGACTGGCGCGGGTCGGGACGCGGCACTGACACACACCCTAAACCCTAAACCCCCTAAACCCCCTAAACCCTAAACCCTAAATCCTAAACCCTAAACCCTAAACGATGCTCCTGGGCCTTGGACTGCAGCTTCTTGAAGGCCTCAGACTCCAAGACCTCCCCGTGCATGTTGGGGGGCTTTGGGGTTTTGGGGTTTGGGGGCTGGGGGGTTTAGGGGTTCCCTTAAAGGGATATAGAAGGTGGGTTCAGGGGTTCTAGGAGTTCCCTTAAAGGGAGCTATAAGGGTTCTATAAGGGATCTAGAGGGGTCCTTTAAAGGGATCTGTAAGGGTTCTGAAAGGGATGTATAGGGCTTTGGGGTTTTGGGGGTTTGGGGGGTTGGGGGTTGTAGGGCTTCCCTTAAAGGGATCTGTAAGGGTTCTATAAGAGATCTATAGGGCTTTGGGGTTTTGGGGTTTCGGGTGGGTTTAGGAGTTGAGTAATTTAAGGGTTATCGGCTCAGGGGTTTGTTTAGATGTTCAGGGATTTAGAGTTTAGGGGTTTAGGGTTTAAGGGGTTATGGGTCTATGGGTTTAGGGTTCAGGGTTTAGGGTTTGCATGGGGTTTTTTTGGATTTATGGGTTCAGGGTTTGTTGAGATGTTCAGGGGTTTAGGGTTTAGGATTCAGGAGTTTATGGGTTTAGGGGTTTAGGGCTTATGGGTGTAGGGTTTGGGGTAAAGGGGTTTATGGGTTCAGGTTTTGTTTAAATGTTCAAGGTTTAGCGTTTAGGGGTTTGGGTTTTAGGGGGTTTAGGGTTTAGCAGTTTAGGGTTTAGGGGCTTTGGGCTTAGGGTTTAGAGTTCGTTCGATGGTGCTTGGGGTTGAGGTTTGTATGGGGGTGTGGGGCTGGGATTTAGGGATGGTTTGAAAGGTTTTTGGGGTTGCTGTCGAAATGGGTGTGGGGCTTGTTGGTTCAAGGTTTGCTCTAGCGATTTCAAAGTTTGGCGCTCAGTGTGTTGGTGCGTGCTTCTTTTTGTTCAAGGGGATTAGAACTTTAAGGTTTGGGGTTTGGGGGTCTAGACTTGCTTTATTTAGGGGTTCAAGGATTTAGGGCTGGAAGGCTTTGAGGGGCTTGGGACGTTACGGTTTTGACGGATTTACGTATTGACGAGAAGCTAAACAGTTTCAACTTCACGAGAAAAGCTTAGTAGGGAGTCATCCAACGAGGAGACCCTAAGCCCCTAACCCCTGAACCCTAAACCCTAAACCCGAAACCCTAACCCTAAACCCTATACCCTGAACTACTCCCCAAACCGGCTCTTCCATGCCGGGGCACAAATACCTGAAGCAGATGATGCACATCGCATTTTTGATGAGCCCTAAACCCTAACTACACTTACACCCTAAACCCTGAATCCCAGACTCCTGGACAAAACCTAAGGTGCTCAATGCCCGACCCTATTTGTATGGATTCGTTTAAGAGTTCTAGACTGCGTTTTACAGGGATTCTACTAATTACAGGGTTCCTTTAGGTGTTCATGGATGTCCCAAAACGTCTCCTCGTCGTGAATCCGTAGTTCACCCTGCAGTCGATCTCTTCGTCGACTACGAACCTTTTTCCATACATCGGACAGAAATCGCACTTTGGTGTCCATTTCTTGGATACGAATGTTGGACTTATTCCACGCCAACTCTCTTGCGAAATTCCATACGATCTAGAAAGACACCGCAGTCGAGACTTGCCGATGATAGGGACCCAAATAGTGCTGCATCAAGTACCGCTTCCATGCCGTAGCCGTCTCCGCCACGACCGATTTGGAAGAGCATTTCTCCAGTACACACGCCCTTTGTGGTACTACAGGGCTCTTTAAGGGTACTATAGGAAGAGATCCATGAATTAGCGGGCTAAACCCTAAACCCTAAACCTCTAAACCGTACTTATGTAGGTTATTATTTGGGACTGTAAGAACCTACGAAACTGAAGACTTTGGGCACGTACCTTAACCTACCAAAACCTACAAAAAAGTAGGGTCCCTATAAAGTCCACATTAGGGTTTATAATAAGAACCCACAAAAAAGTAGGGTTTGGTTGGTTAAGGTAGGTGTTGAAAACCTGTGCGTACGTTTTCCTTTATGCTGCTGGGTTTCATGGGATTAGAAACTCCTCCAGGTAGACGCAAAAACTTGTAAACGAACCACGAAAGCACGAAAAGCCCCCAGGTACAGCAACCCATGAACCTGAGTGTGGACTTGCTGGCCTTAACCTCCCCCGCCCTAAAAAAACATTTAAGAAGAAACACGCGCACACACACACACACAAACTGGCACACAGACAAATTCGTGCAGCCGTTTGAGGGCAATATCAATACAGGGGACCCATAGCCTCCTGGAAGGGTTCCATGAGGGAGCTCTTTCGGGATTTCCGGACGAGGTGTGCGATGCACTTTGTAGTGATTTTAGGTATTTACTTATGGACCATATGGGGATACTTGCAGGATCATGGGACTTTGCAAGTAGGGTCAAAGGTACCTTAGTTGAGCTTAGTTGGGGTTACCTAAGAAGTCCCACGCTTCTTTCACAACCCGTAAAACCCTTACAGACCCTTTATAAGAGTTTTTTAAGGTACCCTTTGAAGAACCCTAGTTACTAAGACACATGCACCTTACTACTCCGACCTCGATATTGCCGGATTTTGAGCTTACCGTATAGGTTTTGGGTGTACAGGAAGTTCGCGGGTTAGGGTGTCGGGGTAAAGGTTTGGGATCTTAATAATTAGAATAGGGCTTGGGGGGGCCCCTTATACTATAGTTATAATAAGGAACCCCCACAATAATATAGGTAACTATTTAGGCCCCTATACTAACCCAAACCAGAGCCCTTATAGATCCCTTTTTAGGAACCCTTTAAGGAACCCAGTTACCCTAAACCCTAAACTTATGGAAACCAAAACCCTAAACCCTAAACCCCAAAACCCTGAACCCTAAACCCTAAACCCCAAAACCCTAAACCCTAAACCCTAAACTTATGGAAACCAAAACCCTAAACCCTAAACCCCAAAACCCTGAACCCTAAACCCCTAAACCCCAAAACCCTAAACCCTAAACCCTAAACCCCTAAACCCTAAACCCTAAACCCCAAAACCCTGAACCCTAAACCCTAAACCCCAAAACCCTAAACCCTAAACCCCAAAACCCCTGAACCCTAAACCCTAAACCCCAAAACCCTAAAACCCTAAACCCTAAACCCCAAACCCCAAAACCCTAAACCCCTAAACCCTATACCCTATAGATCCCTTATACAAACCCTAAACCCTAAACCCCAAAACCCTAAACCCCTAAACCCTATACCCTATAGATCCCTTATACAACCCTTAAGGCTCCCTTTAAAGGAGCCCTAAACCCTCAAGCCGAAACCTTCGCTCGGTTTCTCTGTGCCTTGGCCGCCGGCCCATCCTGAACGACCTGACCGGCCTCCAACACCAGAATCCTGGCAAGGGCAGGGTTTAGGGTTTAGGGTTTTGGGTTTAGGGTTTAGCGGTTTACGGGCTTCGGGTTTAGGGGTTAGGGGTTTAGGGTTTAGGGTTTTTTTTTTTTTGAGCTCCTTTTTGACGTCCGCCAGACAGTCGGCCGACTCCAAGACCAAGCATGGTTTAGGGGTTTAGGGTTTAGGGTTTAGCGGTTTAGGGTTTAGGGGTTTAGGGGTTTAGGGTTTAGGGGTTTAGGGGTTTAGGGTACAGAAGGGTTCTATGAGGGATCTATAGGGGTTTAGGGGTTTAGGGGTTTCGGGTTTAGGATTTTTAAAGCAACTTTTTTCCGTCTGCAGAACA